GCATGTTGTTCTTGCGGCTGATTGATTTGGCTCTGAAAAGTGAGTAAATTGTTTTTCTAATGGGTGTCTCAGTCTCCAAACATCTACCAGATTACAACTTTCTACTAAAGAGAAGAAAGTTTTGGGTAACTTTCCTTCTTTTGATTTCATTTTTCTTCTTAATCTGTCCATTTCTAATGAAATTACCCCGTTCATGTCCCCCATTATTACAATTTTTTGATCAACATTGTCAAACAATTTCTCTTCTAAAGATTTATAAAATTCAGTCTTACAGCCGTTTGGTGCATAAATTCCAACAATTAAGTTTTTCGCCTTGCCACGTGACTTGTACTGCAATCATCCTACCTTCCTTGTCCTTGAAGATTTGCCGTGCTTCAAATTTGTGTTTTATATACAAAACTACCCCTCTCTTCTTACTTCCATCTGAAGATATAAATTCATTCCCTAGTTTTTTATTAACCAAAATTCTGTTTTCTAGCTACGTGAGTCTCTTGTAAACAGATAATATCCAAATTCTTTTTCAACAAAACATGCCCAATTTTCTTTTATTTTTATTGTTTAAATCATTAACATTCCATGTCCACGCTTTTAATGCCATCTTGATTTCTTTTACTTTTTGTTAAAAGAAAAGAGAAAAGGTATTTAAACCTGTCCTCCTCCTACTCCTCCTCCTCCTTCCTCATTATCTTCTTCTTCTAGGTCCGGGGTCGCTGCTGCTGTCTTCTTCCTTGCCTAGCTCTTTGTATCTTCTCATAAATTTCTTTGTCTCATCCACATTTTTTAAGTTGAAACCACTTTTCTTTGTAATAGAATGAGACCCCTTCTGGGAATTTCCATTTGAATTCAATATAGTTTTTTCTCTGTTTTGTGTCAGTCTTGTAAGGCTGGCATTTCTTCAGGAGACGAAGTGGGATGTCCTTAAATATGATTATAAATGTTCCATCAATACAGAGTCTTTGTTCTCTGTTTTTCTTCAGGATCAGATTCCTCATCTCTCTATCTTTAAATATGATCAAACAATCACCTGGGAATTTTTAAGCTTTAGTAGCTTTTGTTTTGATCCCGAATGCACTTTGAATTGTATTTGCTACCTCCTCTGCTTCCATACTTAACCATTGTGCAATCTCAATGATCAATTTTCTCATGATATTTCCCCCTGGTGTTTATGGAACTATTCTAAATCTCAAATTCATTTCTCTCTGCTTCATTTCATTTAAAGCAACAGCATCCCATAAGTCTTCCTGCGTCTTACTTATTTCGGACACATCTCCTATGGTCTTTTCTTCCTCCTTTTTCAACTCTCTCATTTCTCACTGTGCCTGTTTCATTCCTTCTTCCAAGCTTTGCATCCTTTTACTTATCTCCTTCATCTGTTAAATCTAAGGAAGGTTTAGGGAATAGTTTACAACAATATGTTCCAGACTTCGTTGTTAAGAAGAAGTATAAATGAGCTGGGCATCTTCCGCCACTTGTTTGGCTAATCCACAGATTTTGAAGCTTTCCCGAAAAAAACTCACAATAAAAACCAATAAGAAAAAATAAAATACAATATCTTGAGCCACTTGCTGGCTTAATTCCACACAGTTCCACACAGTCGCTATTCACTATAGAAGAAGAATCCCAGGAGTCCAAAAAACAACTTAAAGACAAGGGAGCAGGGGGGGGGGTTCTAACACTCTCCTCTCCACACAGCTTCTCCCCAAGGTGTTTGGAGGTACGGCTATTTTATAAAGTTTTAAATAGGTCTATCTATGCCGGACATTTGCAGGTCCTGCTAAAAGAAAGCTGCTATTTGGCTTCTTTTCCCCTTAACAGTTTTTAATTTCAATCTACGCAGTTCCACAAAATTGAAAGTAAAAGTTCCCAGGAAGCTCTCCCCCCTCCCTGCCCCATGGTATCCAAAAAGTCTCAAAAGAATGTATAATATATCCAGATCAAGAGGTTTTTTTCACGCCTTCTCAGTAAATGTTCAGTCTTTTCAAATAAAGAACAACTGTAATTGTGAATCTTATATCTCCGCTGTAGGAAAGTTAAATAGAGTCAAGTTCTCTAGGAAATTCATGCAACCACCTTCAGATCACAAACAGAGCTGACCTCCTTTTTTTGCACCCCACTGTCTTCTGAATTATTATAACACCAAATTAATTTTTTTATGTGTATGCAATTATACATTTTCTTTCTTTGTATCTCTGTGACTTCCCTTCACCTGTGCTTAGCATCATTTAATTATTTTATATCATTTAATATTGTGTTAAAGAGATACATTATAGATATTAACCCATAAAATCTTTGTTTTATTTTTTAACCTTAACTTTGCGAATTTCAGTTTATGCATATCAATAAATTTATTTTGGAACAATGTTTTGTCATGTATTCTTCTACATACTCCCATTCCTTCCTTAATTTCTGATTTGGTTGTAATCTGATTGCTGCCGTCATTTTGGCCAGATTGACAAACTCACAAAATTTATTTTGCCATTCCGCTACTGAATGAACAAAGTCTGCTTTCCAATTTTTCGCAACTGGAATTCTAGCGGCAGCTGTTGTGTATAAGAATATTTTTTCTTGTCATTGGGGATGTCTTTTGTCACTATACCTAAAAGGAACACTTCTTGCCTTTTCTCGAATGTTGTTTTAAACATCTTTTTTGGTTCTTCATGGATACACTAGAACGCGACGCACCACAAAACCCTATGGGAAAGATGGCTCTGTATGTAACTGGCAGTCAATTTGATGTCTTGTTTCCACAACCTTTCCCACTGTTCCATCTAGATTGCATAACCGAAATCCTGGCCCACCTAATCATGACCTCCTTTACTTCCTTATCCTTTAATTCCCATTCCAGTAATAAATTGTACATACGTGGCCAGAAAACATAGAAGAGTATTGATTAATATGAAATTATGAACGGAATTTATTTCTTCAGGTGGGTGAAAAGCTTTTGCTACAGAGAGGAGGGAGCCTTGCCTGGCAGGAATGCCTCTTACCCTCCTTCCTGCATCCTCTGTTGCCTCTGTGCATTCTGCTTGTTAAGAGGGCGAGACAGGCCATTTGTAGGAAAGGAACAGGACCATACAGGTTTTCTTGGGCTCTAGGCCCTCTTTTTATAAAAAATTATGGAACAGTCAAAGGTTTTGCCAAAACTCCCTTGTGGGGAAGAAGATTGCAATGCAAGCAACAATGAGAATATCACATTGGTGCAATGTGTGTGTGTGTGTGTGTGTGTGTGTGTGTGTATCCCTGGATGCCAAGATCCAAGTTTGGGGTTGGAGAGATTGTGGAAGGTAGATATTAAATTCACAGCATGCTGTAACCTTAGGGAGAACATCATGAAGGTGTTATATAGATGGCATCATACCCCCTTGAAACTAGCGGAAATGTATAAAGGAAGGTCACCGACTTGCTGGAGATGTAAAATAGATGTGGGGTCATACTACCACATGTGGTGGACTTGTGCAATCATTAGGGGATTCTGGGATAATATCTATAATGAATTCAAGAAATTATTGAGACACACTTTAAAAAAAAAGAGAGAGATCTTTCTTTTAGGCATTTTACCATTAGAAATTAAGAAAGACATAAGACCACTGTTCATGTATGCCACCACAGCAGCAAGAATTCTTGTGGCGAGGAAGTGGAAAAATGAAACAATACCGACAATCACAGATTGGCAGATACTCATGTTAGAATATTTACAACTAGCAAAACTGACGGAAAGAGTTAGAGGAGTATTGAACTAGAAAACATTTGGAGAATGGAGAATATTTCAGGATTATATGGGATCATATTGTACCAACCACACCATGTTATCAGAACTTGAGTGATCCTTTAAACACAACAAATACCATTTGTAGAGTAGATCCTTCCAGTTAGGCTGGGCATGGAATATTTGCTCATTAAATTCAGAAAAAAGAGGAAAAATACAAGTACGTTTGCCCTTCTCTCTCTCTCTCTGTGTGTGTGTGTGTGTGTGTGTGTGTGTGTGTGTGTGTGTGGTGTGTACACACATCTACACACACACAAACACACACATTTTTCTTATGTTCTGAATATAAAAAGACACTTTTATGGGCTTCTTATAAATGGAGAAAGGGAGAGAGAGAGTGCAAGAAAGAAAACAAAAAGTGGAGCTATATTTCCTGATGCGCACAATTGATTTGCTTAAATCGGAAAAACAACTCTTGATCTTGTACCTCTCATTGTATTCTCCAGTTCATCACATGATAAAATATGTCATATGTGTTTAAAAATCAGGTCAATAAAGAATCACTAAAGAATGGGAGAAATACGTGGATTATTTAAAAAATATTTGCAAACATTTAACTACATTAGCAGGAAGAAAACAACACAAAAAGTTAAATAATAACTTATTTGGTAACTGTTGTTGTTGTTGTTTAGTCATTTAGTCATGTCCGACTCTTCGTGACCCCATGGACCAGAGCACGCCAGGCACTCCTGTCTTCCGCTGCCTCCCGCAGTTTGGTCAGACTCATGTTTGTAGCTTCGAGAACACTGTCCAACCAATTTGGAAACTAGGCAGTAACAATAGGGGAAATGCAGTGATAAAAATGAAACCAGAAGGTGAAATAGAAGGGGAAGAGGGAAGTCAAATTATGTTTTTATTTCTGAAGATGCACTACATTTCATATCTTTTGTTAAGCTGAAAACTCGAAAAATAAAATTAACAAACAAAACAAATTGGGTATCGGACTTTCAGCAAGTGGTGCAGTGATGGCAAAATAAGGCATATGACCTGTTGGATGCTGATGCTGAGCTTGCACAATATTTGAGCTCAGTGTCGTTTATGTCTATAGATGTAAATAAGATCACACTGTTGCTCTTTATTAAGCTGTTATTAAGCTGTTAATAAGCAGCTAGCTAGAGCTGTTGTTTATACTTCTTTTAGCCTGCCTCTGCTCCAAGCAGCTCATTGCTTCATGCAAAATTCCTCCTTCCCCTCAATAACACTGCGAGGGAGGATAAATAGAGCAGCGAGCTTCATGGTGGAGCAGGCGTTGGGATTTGGTTTCTCCAAGGCTTGCTAGGTGCCTGTGTGCCCTCACTCTTGCAAGCTTCTTCCCTGCAGGTTTCAGCCATGTGGCTCTACCTGGCTGCCCTGCTGGGGCTTTACTTCCTTCGCCGATGGTATCAGGAGAAAAAGACGGTGGAGAACCTGACGGAGAAATATGTCTTCATCACTGGCTGTTCCTCTGGCTTTGGGAACCACCTTGCCAGGCATCTGGATGCCCGGGGTCTGTGGGTGTTGGCAACCTGTACCACCCAGAAGGGGGCAGAGCAGCTGAAGAAGGTCACCTCAGAGCGCTTGAAAACCACCATTCTGGATGTCACCAGTACAGAGAGCATTGCGGCAGCGACGGAGTGGGTGAAAGAACAAGTGGGGAACAAAGGTAGCTTTTTGTTGTGTTGTTTCCATGCTCTGGATCAGGCCAGGGATTATCTGTATCATCATCTGCTTATCTTTACTCCACTTTCCCACAAAATGTGGTCTGAGTGACTCCCAATACAGTGGTACCTCGTGTTAAGTACCTAATTCGTTCCGGTGGTCTGTTCTTAACCTGAAACTGTTCTTAACCTGAAGCACCACTTTAGCTAATGGGGCCTCCTTCTGCCGCTGCACCGCCAGAGCACAATTTCTGTTCTCATCCTGAAGCAAAGTTCTTAACCCGAGGTACTATTTCTGGGTTAGCGGAGTCTGTAACCTGAAGCATATATAAGCATATGTAACCCGAGGTACCACTGTATATCAAAAATAAAAAGTATGACCATTTTAAAAAGTATTAGAAACAACTAAAATCAATAAGGCAATGAATGGGGAAGGAATTCCATGGGGTCACCTTAATTCAGCCTCTGTCAAGAGCTGCTAGGATTGCCAAATAACCTGAAAGATTATTGCTTTGTGCTTTTGATAGCAGCTTGTTCTGTGAAGTCACACAGTGAAACTTCATTTTGTATGAAGATAAATGTTCCTGTCTGATAATGTCCACTGATCAACCTGTTTCAAAAAGCACAGATGCAAGATATCATAATCAGTGTTGCAAGGTTTTAATTTTAGCTGACAAGCAGCTGCAGGACCTCAAACTGATTAGCCAGCATTTGCAGTGTAGGAGAAGCCTCTGGGGTCATTTGGCTGATCTACATTGAATTTTTCTTCCTAATAGCAGCTGGGAAAGGAGGCATTTTAGATGGGGGAAAATACTTGGGAGAAGAAGGAACCAGAGCAGTTATATTGCAATATCTTTTAAGATGCTCCCCATTTAAATGTGTTTGGGGAGCCCAGAGCAGAGAATATGGAAGGTATAACCTTCTGGATCAGGCCAATGTCTCTTCTCATCCAGGATTCAGTTACCAGCAGATGACTTCTCGAAAGCAGCAATCAAGCGCACTCTCCCTTCCTGTGCTTTCCAGCAATCGGTATTTGGAAGTATTTCTGCTTCCAGCTGTAGAGGCAGAGCATAGACATCTTGGCTGTCCAATCCACTTTTAAAACCATCCAAGTGGGTGGGCATCCCTATCTCCTGAACCTTCCAACATTCATTGGACGTCCATGAGTTCCATTGTTGGAGAATGAGAAGCAGTGTGGTGCAGTGGTTAGAGTTTCAGACTAGGACCTGTGAGACCTGGGTTCAAATCTCCACTTGGCATACTGCTCATTGGGTGAGGTCCCAACACTGATCTTTGGAGAACTCCAGTTTCTACATCTCCCCATCTAGATATTCCATTTATTCCTATACTCTGTGTCCTGCTTCTTAACCAGTTTCATGACTGCTCAGCTTATTCAGGAGTCGGCAGTCTAAGTACACTAGGTCAACTGGATCAGTTTTATCCAACAGATCTACTTTGGATAAGCCTTCATGCTCTTTGCTAAATTTCATGTAAAGGCCTCCCAAAATGGCCCCCAGAGGTCATTGGTTGGCCTTACTTTTAAAACTGTGTGAATCCCTGGGGAAATATTGGATCTCCAGCAATGACCGCTTCCCGCTTAAAACGGGGGGCGCCCTTTGCGTGGACGCGTGCAGCCCCTAGATCTGGAGCGGCTCCAACAGCATAGGCTTGGCTTTGCCTTCCCTCAGGTGGGATACCTGGAGGTCTCCGCCTACCTCAGTGAGTTGCCCAATCCCACCTGGGGGAAGCGTTGCCAAGGAGACCAGGCCAGGTAGGGGAGGGATTACCTGCCCACACAATAGAGGGAGGATCTTACCTGGGAATCCTCACTTGGCTCCAGAGCTTCTCCCACCCTACCCACCCTCTGTTAATGTCTTATTTTGCAGGTTAACTTTTCTTCACAGGTTTTGCAGGTTAACTTTTCTTCACAGGTATCCAGGAGCTGCTACGTTAAGGTCGCTGTTAAAGGGCCAGAAAGGAATTTCCCTGCATTGGCAGGTTTCGCCTTTCCCGTAGCAAAACGTCACAACTTTGGCGGTATCAGGCCTTGGGCGGAATCCTTTTGTCCATCTTCCTCTTTGCGGCGGCGATACCAGGGTTCCCCGTTAAAGGGGTTTTCTGAAGGGAGGCTTTGGCCGTACACCGAAAGGTCGTCATTGCTCTCCCCTGCGGCTGCGGCGTTACGGGGGCGGCTATCTCTGCTTGAACATATGTTCTCCAGAGCCGGCCCATCCCCCACACACACACTGGATAACCCTGATGCTCCCTAGGTCCCCGGCTGGGGACCGGGGAGGGAGAACGCCCAATGCCTGAGCCAAGGTCTACCCACATTTGAAATTTAATAAAGTTGTGGCCAATTTAATCCCATAGCACGTTGTCTTGAGTCATTATTCCACATGATGGGGGGACCATGCAGGATCTGGGGACTCCGCCTGTCCACGCAATACTAAGATCAAATGCAAGAGCAGGGACGCATACTGAACTCTCTCTCTCTCTCTATATATATATATATGCAGGTTTTGGTGTCCTCGGGTGTCTTCCCGTGTAGAAGTTGGGGTGTCTAGGCGACGTTTCGACGAGGTCTCACTCGTCATCTTCAGGCTGGTGCTTTCGGCTTCTTGTTGACACCAAAACCTGCATTCCTGTACCCGTGAAAATCTACGAAAGCATATATATATATGTATATATATCTCCAGAGATAAAACGTTTGTTGGTCAAAATTGTCTGTTTCAGTCCAGTGTTTTCTGTGTTGTCTTTCTCAATTTGTAGATACCCATTTTTGGTTTTTTGGAGTGATGTGAATAGAAGCTTTAGGACTCCCATGCTTTTAATTACAGCTTTCCTCTTAACAAATATTGCCCATTTTATTGCTTCCTGTTGATAGTAGTTGGGGAAATTATGATGAACCGCCCATTCAACTTAAAAAATAAATAAATCATTTTTTTTGGTTTTCAATTACAATCCAATAATAGCCTCATTATAACAATAGCAATTTATTATACAATTATTAATACCAATTGTTCCAATGCTGAATTATATAATTTAGATAAAGTGGCCCCCTGTGTGCTAAATTTGATGATTCTATTGTTTTCTTTATTTCTGCCTTCCAAAATCTTATTAATTTCCATTACATTCCAGTCATAACAATAATCCCTTATACAACAACTGCAATATTAATAACTTCTATTCGTGTTGACACATTAAATGATTTATGAAACTACAAGTGAGGAACTCAAACTACATCCTTGTTCTTCCTGTGTGTGGCAATATTTCTGCCTGAGGTGTTTCTTCTGGTCCTTGTAAGATGTTATGTCTCCCCACCCACCCAGTTGTGGCTGTTATTCTTCATGCCTTGGGCGGAGCTGATATCCCAATGTTGTTCCAGAAATTTCTCCCTTGCTCCATCCTGTGCTTCGTTGTTTTGCAACTTTAACAAATCCTAGAATACATATCAACCAAAATATAGACCACAAGAATAATACTACATCCACACTTCCAAAATCTAGCATACATCCAAATGTTATGCTAGGTGGGAACCTGGAACAATAATTGTCCCTTCTTCTTCTTCTTCTTCTTCTCCTTCTTCTTCTTCTTCTTCTTCTTCTTCTTCTTCTTCTTCTTCTTCTCCTCCTCCTCCTTCTTCTGAAATAATTTTTATTTGATTTTTACAAGATTATAACAATACCAAATCCATATCCACATTTAGAGATTTCTCTGAATCTTCAGACTTCCCCCTTCTGCTTCATGGGTCTTATTATCAACTTTTTCAACTGCATATTATTTCCTCATCCAAATTTTATGTCACTCCATTTTATCCATAATAATTTCTACATTACAAGTGTTATTGCAGTCCTGCTAATGTTTTCATCTGCTGACAGCGGTGTCTCAAGTTTGCCATTCTTCTCTGGTAAGGACTTTGTCTTCATTCCATCTCTGGGCAAGTAACATCCATGCGGCTGTCGTTGCATACGTAAAAAGTCTTTTCTGTTCCTTTGGGATCTTGGTACCTACACTTCCTAATAAAAAGGTTTCTTTATCAAAGTTATTTTAAACATTTTAAAAATTCATTATATATCATTTCAGTTCATTATATATCATTTCCTTTGGGAAAGAATAACTGTCTCTTCCTGCACAGGGCTCTGGGGCTTGGTGAACAATGCGGGAATAGGTGTCCCATCAGGTCCCAACGAATGGCTGACCAAAGATGACTTTGCAAAGGTGATCAATGTCAACCTGCTAGGGTTGATTGACGTGACGCTACACATGCTGCCGCTGGTGAGGAGAGCCAGAGGGAGGGTGGTCAATGTGTGCAGTGTGAATGGACGCCTGGCCTGCTTCGGAGGCGGTTACTGCCCATCAAAGTTTGGTGTGGAAGCCTTCTCTGACACCCTGAGGTAAAAACAAGCTCTGTAGCCTACTTTTGGTTTGGTTTGGTTTAGTGACATGGTGTTTCTCCAGGTGTAGGGAATAAAAAACAGGTGTTGGGAAATCAGGCTGCTGTCAAGGGCTGAACCTTCAATCACAGATCAAAAAGCAGACATTTGCACTGTTTGAGAAATAAGGATCCAGCTCATGCTATGCCCACACTGGACCTGAAATACATTTGCTCATCTCCAGATCTGCGGGGAAATATGTTTTTTCAAAATGCAAGCCTGAGATGAGATGGGAGGGGGAAGGTGCGTGCGTGGACTCCACAGATCTGATTGAATTTGCTCCACCACCGATGAGAGGCCATCACCTCTGCCAGCCCCCTCCAGACCCCCAGATGAGGATGCAACCCTGGCAGCACAGGGGCCAAACCATCGTGCTAACTGCCTCCCCGCCATTTGGTGAGGGTGGACGGAGAAGTTGTGGCTGGTTCTCAAAGATGGTTGGTTGTGTTTTGAGAGATGACAGCATCTTCAGAACAGTAGATCATCTGGGAGGGGCACCAGAAGGGGCAGGCTGGGTTACAGAAGGGCTTGCTGCCTCCTCCTCCATCACTACTGCTGCCTGCACCACCTTGTTGTCTCTGCCGGAATCCACACCGGGCCATCAAGGGGCTGCAGGGTCCCTGCCAGAGAGCTTGGCACAATTAGGACATGTTCAGTTTTTCACCTTTCAAATTCCAAAAATGGGGGTGCTAAAAAGTTGTAACATGACTTGGGAATTCAAAAGATATTTGGCTTCAATTGATACCATTTAGTTTTGACTGGTAAGTAAAAAGTGTGAAATTGCATAGAAATCATTAAAAATGCCAAGGACTTGCAGTTATATTATTATTATCGTTATTATTAAGCATTCATTACCTGACCTTTTCAGAAGGCAAAATAAAAATTCTATGATTTGCTGAGAGCAGCTGGTGTGCTTTTTAATCAAATGTAGGTTTACCAAGCTAAATGTTGCCAAATCAAAACAGTAACAGCACATTTGAATTTCCCAAACCCAAAGGCATACTTTTAAGTCCCCTCACGGAAGAAATTTGCAAAAATTAAGCTTCCGTCCAGAAAAGAACACCCCCTAATTGGCACATGGCCAAGGTGTGCAGCACTCAGGCACATGCCAGGAAAAAGAAAGATGAGGGAGTAGAGCAACCAGCTAAGAAGGCAGGCAGAGGCCAGGCCTGGGTGGCTGGGTGACCCTGGCGCAGACCCCACCCGCTCCTGCTGAGGACCCCTCCCTCTCGCAAGGCCACCAGCTTGGCTGACTCTGCCCTCTGCCAGGCCTGGCAGCCCTGCTCCCCCAGAATCCCCAGGCGCCTCATTTGTTTTGCATGCCCGGGCCCTTTCCTAGCAGTCAAACAGCCCACTATATTTTAGTCTTCAGTAGGAAATGATGTTTCTTGACTTTTCCTCCCTCGTTCAGAAGAGAGCTCCATCCTTTTGGAATCAAAGTCAGCATTGTTGAACCAGGTAGTTTCAAGACACCCATACAGTCAAAATTAGCTGAGTCCTACGAACCTTTATGGAGCCGGTTACCTTCTGACCTGAAGGAATGCTATGGGCGGAAGTACTTTGAGCAATGTGAGTAGACCTGGGGGAGAAACTCAGTTTGGTATGAAAGCTACCTAGTTCACACTTAACAAAACAACACATGAATCAACGAAACAACACATGAACCAAAATTCAGACTCATGTAAATTTAGTAATGCACTTTCCCCAAACAATAATGTGTACAAAAATACATACTGTTACACAAGCCTGGTGTCTGCCCCCTCAACAACTCTGCACTCCCCCCCAAAAGTCACGCCAAGTCTAATCCATATCCCAATTAAGCCTGGTATTTATTAATTTCTAGGGCTTAGCTATATCTATAACAATACATTAGTAGAAAGTATGTATCAAAAGTGAAGCTAGCATACAAGAATACTCTGTGTTAGAGAACACTGCTTGCAAAAATGTGTCCCTTGTGGAAAATTGCATATAAAAATATTAAGAGAAATTGGCACTGAAATGCTGGTAAAATTTTGTGAGAATTTTCAAACCACAAACTGAAATGTGGAGAACTGAACTTAAAGGTTGAATAAATGAGAAACAGAATCTAAAATTGACAGGCTGAGCCATCCCTGACTGAAATTTCTTTTAAAAAAAATTATGAAACTATATCTAGTGGCAGCTATGTATAGAAAATTATTCAAAACATCCACTCCAAGATGACACCCAATGATTCCACTTTCTATAAACCAATATTTCCATTAATCCTCAAACCCAGATATCATAAGTTCATTTTCTTTTTCATGCAAAAAAGTGTATAAGGCGTTTCCAATCTTTAATAAATAGTGACAATGATTATTCTCTTATTAAACACGTCAACTTTACCATCCCAGCTAAATCCAATATTATTTACATCCATTCCCTCATGGTAGATAATGATGAATCTTTCGATCTTTGTGCATAGAAGAGTATTGCCATTGTGATCATGTATTGAAATAATGTTCTGCAGTCTTTTTCTAATTGTCTATCCATTATTCCTAGCTGGAAAAGTTCCGATGGCAATTGAATGTGAAACTTTAAAATGTTTGCATCATTGTATGTATTTGAATCCAATATTTCTTGGCAATTTTACAAGTCCACCAAGCATGACAAAATGGGTCTGCATATTTTTCACACTTCCAACAAACATTTCAAACACCTTTATACAGTCTAAATAATTTAACTGGAGTTAGATACCATTGGTACATCATTTTATGTACCTAATCTGCACCTTCAGCTTCCAAAAGATTCTAGGTGCCACCTAGGCTGTTGCAAGGATAATGTTTCTTTTGCTTCATGTTTCTCACAAACAGGTTGCAAAATAAGCGAATATTTCCAAAAGGCTGGCAGCGACAACCTTCACCTGGTCACCGACTGCATAGAACATGCCCTGACATCCTGCTCCCCTCGCACTCGCTACTCTCCAGGCTGGGATGCAAAGCTCTTCTACCTTCCTGTCTCTTACTTTCCAACGTCCATCACTGACTTCGTGATGAGCTGCATTTGGCCTAAACCAGCTCAAGCAATATAGGGTTGTTGTTGTTTTAAAATAGCGACTATAGAATAATCAAAACATACAATACAACAAAGTAAAGAACCAAGAGGCAACTTACTATTATAGATCCACCATTCATAATTAGATATTACTTTGAAACATAGGATCGTTCAATCCAAGATTGATCAAGAAAATTGGAATTTTATTTTCATGGAAGCAAAGAGGGCTAATAGTGATGAGTATCACATTTTTTTGTTTTCATTGCTGTACAGTGGTACCTCAGGTTAAGGACTTAACGTTCTTAACCTGAAACTGTTCTTAACCTGAAGCACCACTTTAGCTAATGGGGCCTCCTGCTGCCACTGCGCTGCCACCGCGTGATTTCAGTTCTCATCCTGAAGCAAAGTTCTTAACCTGAACAGAAATCAATCCAGTGAATATTGATGTAGGTTTGAGGGGGTCAGACTGCATGATGCCCTGGGCCCCTTCCGGTTCTTGGGCTTCTGTATCAGTGGGAGTAGAAAGCTTGAGAACAAGTTTTCCAAACCATTCCCTTTGTCTAGGCAATTGTAAGACAATGGCCATGGCTGGATACTTAAGCACCATGATTATCCCAAAAGAATGAGCCGTCCTGCAAAAGCTACAACTAAGTGATGGTGTCCTCCCCCCCCCCCTCACCTGGCCAGTAGATAGAGAACAAGGGTGTAGCTGAGCTAGAAAGGAGGAGAAGCTAGAAAGACAGGTCCATGTCTGATCTGTGCTGGGCTTTGGAGCTCCCCTAGAAACCTAATCGGGGAGCAAGATCTATTGGGGTGGGGGGGCCACCAGGGGCGCATTGGAAGATGGCCGACAATACCATCTCTCCGGCTCACACGAGGTAATTAAGAGGCTGATATGGGAGTATGCAGCCTCCGTTGTTGCCCCAAGGACATGGGGAACACTGCCTTGCCTGCTGTGGCCATAAATCACCCCCGGTTCCAAAAGAAGGGGGTGAGGGCACTAGGCACAAAACCCTTGTGTGGGTCTGGCTCTTCCGGACACTGTCTCTGATCGCGCACTGGCTGCAGCAACTTGAAATAAACAATTAGAAAAGAAGCAAATGCACATATTTCAAGTGAAGAACGGGAGTGAAGACTGCTAATTGAAGTGACCTCTGCCAAAGGAGCGACGGGTTGTATTTGACGGAATATAACATGAAGAAGATACATCAAAGGTTTAGTATGCCGGAGCGGGACTGGATGGGGGGGGACTTTTTTTTCTTTTCTTCTATGTGATTAACCAATAACCCCTCCCCAACCAAGAAAGAACCGTCACATAACTGACCTAAGCAGTATGATTAAAAACTGTGTGGAGATGAAATACTAACCACAAGTTTGACTTATGGAGATCGAGAAAAGAACAAGGGCTCTTGGAATGGCGCAGTAATAAAAAGGGAGTCGCCATCTTGGCAGGTTCTGTCGAAAGATTTATGATCGGGAGGAGGAAGCTTTGTTTTCATATTGGATTCCTGGCAGAACCTCCTCAGGAATGAGAAACGGAGTGACAGACCTGTGAAAAATTTAATGAGTAGACGGTAAGAGTGTTTTTCTTTATGGAAGCGATGAAATATGGTAGCCGTCTGAATATGACCCTTGGACGAACGGAAAAACCCACACAGGATTACAAATTTGTTTCAACCCGCTTGTGGAGACTATCAGAGGTCACAAAGACAAAAAGAAAGGGAAAATATATGAAAATAACAAGAAGAGATGTGGAAAACAACAAGAAAGGATTGCATAGAATTGTGAACATTATTTGTGGACATTAAAGTAGCAGCAACAAGAGGATTGGATCCCTTTCGGAACTTGAAATATGGGTACCCCCAACAAAAAATTTAAAATTCGGCTTTGTAATTTGGAATTTATGTGATTTGATTTAATTGGTCTGTTAATAAAAATTATTCAGATAAGATCTATTGGAGTGTTCATGCTCCATCGTAAGGTCATTTTGAATTCGGATTCTGACTCCCGCGACATTAGCGACCCCTCCCAGTTTGGTGTCTTCTGCCAATGTGATGAGCATCCCCTCAATTCCTTCATCCAAGTCATTTATAAAGACGTTGAACAACAACGAGCCCAGGACAGAACCCTGTGGCACCCCACTGGTCACTTTTTCCCACGGTGATGAGGAACCATTAATGCATGCATAGGCAAACTCAGCCCTCCAGATGTTTTGGGACTACAACTCCCATCACCCCTGACCACTTGTCCTGTTAGCTAGGGATAATGGGCGTTGTAGTCCCAAAACACCTGGAGAGCCAAGTTTGCCTATGCCTGCATTAATGAGTATCTTTGGGTTCGGTCAGTCAATCCACCTAACAGTTACTTCATTTAACCCACATTTTACCAGCTTCCTCATGAGACTGTCATGGGGGGACTTTGTCAAAAGCCTTACTGAAATCAAGGTGCACTATGTCCACAGAATTCCCCTGATCCACCAAGTTTGTAACTCCATCCAAAAAAGACATCAGATTGCTCTGGCAGGACTTATTTTGCAGGGCATTGGACTAGATGGCCATTGTGGTCCCTTATTAGAAAATGTGACTACTATCACAGAATACGAAAATAAAATGGCCTATGCTATTCTTTTTTTTCTTTCTTTCTTTTTCTTTTGCCAAACTACCTCATGACATAGGGTCCAAAGGAGTCAGGCAACAATACAGTGGTACCTCAGGTTACATATGCTTCAGGTTACAGACTCTGTTAACCCAGAAATAGTACGTCGGGTTAAGAACTTTGCTTCAGGATGACAACAGAAATCACGTGGCGGCGGTGCAGCGGCAGCATGAGGCCCCATTAGCTAAAGTGGTGCTTCAGGTTAAGAACAGTTTCAGGTTAAGAACGTTAAGTCCTTAACCCGAGGTACCACTGTACAGCAATGAAAACAAAAAAGCAAAAAAACTTCGAATCTGCAAATAAGATAGGAAAGTATTTGGCGTGGCAAATAAGAGAAAGGAGGAAACAAAATATGATTTGTAAGATAAGGGAAGGAGAAAGGATTGTGGAAGAACCAAAAGAAATAAAAAGGATATTCCAAAAATACTATAGGGACCTATACAAAAGAGGAAAAGAAACAGAACAAGAAATAGATTGCTTTTTGCAAAAATATCACCTGAAACCAATTATAAAAAAAGAAAAAGAGATTTTAGACCAGATAATTACACAAGAGGAAATAAAGAAAGCCATAAGAAAGATGAAAATTGGGAAAGCGCCGGGGCCGGATGGCCTCCCGGCAAAATACTATAAAACATTAAGTAATCAATTATCTCCAGTGTTAAGTCAGGTGATGAATAATATACTAAAAGAAGGAAGGATCCCGAACACCTGGAAGGAAGCATATATCACATTGATTCCTAAAAAAGACGTAGATACTTTGGAAGTGAAGAATTATAGGCCAATTTCATTATTAAATAATGACTACAAGTTATTACAAGTTATTTGCAGATGTAATGGCAGAAAGATTAAAAAAGGTTTTAAACAATAAAATACATAAAGATCAGACAGGCTTCCTTCCGGGGAGACAACTAAGGGATAATGTTAGAAATGTGATAAATATCATTGAATATTTAGATATGAATATAGATAGACAGGCGGCCCTAGTATTCATAGATGCCGAAAAGGCATTTGATAATATCTCGTGGGACTTCCTAAGGAAAAGTTTGGAAATGATGGGAATAGGAGAAAAATTTAGAAGAGGCATAGATGCAATATACAAGGAACAAAAGGCAAAATTGGTAATAAATAACACCACAACAGAATATTTCAGTATATACAAAGGAACTAGGCAAGGCTGCCCCCTGTCTCCTTTATTATTTATATCAGTATTGGAAATACTTAACGAGAGATTGAGGGAGGCAGCAGATGTTAAAGGAGTCAAGGTAGGAAAGAGGGAATACAAATCAAAGCTTTCGCAGACGATATTGTACTAACCCTAGAAGACCCAAAGGATAGTGTAAAGGAAGCTCTACAAAAAATTGAAGAATTTGGAGAGGTGGCAGGATTCAAGGTAAACAAAACCAAAACTAAAATGTTGGTTAAAAATCTAACGAAGGAAGAAACGGTAGATTTAGAGCAAAGGGCGGAAATTACAGCGGTTAAGAAAGTGAAATATCTCGGAATCTGGATCACGGCTAAAAATATAAACCTATATAAGGATAATTACGAGGCCACTTGGAGGAATATAAAAAAAGACCTGGAAACCTGGGGGAGGCTGAAATTCTCCTTTTTGGGAAGGATAGCAGCGGTTAAAATGAACATTCTGCCCAGAATGTTGTTCCTATTCCAAACTATCCCTGTACTCAAAGGTCTAAAACAGTGTAAAGAGTGGCAGAGAGCCCTGGCAAAATACATCTGGCAGGGGAAAAGACCACGGATAAAAATGAAAATATTGATAGATAAAAAAGAAAGAGGGGGTTTCTCTCTCCCGGATCTGAGCTTATATTATGAAGCGGCGTGCCTACTTTGGTTAAAAGACTGGATAAAATTGGAGAATAGAGACATATTAGATCTGGAAGGCTTTAATAACAGGTACGGGTGGCACGCGTACCTGTGGTACGAGAAGGTGAAGGTCCACAGGAACTTTTTAAATAATATTTTCAGGGGACCAATTTACCAGATATGGGAAAGAAATAAAAACCTCTTAGAAAGGAAAACACCCTGGTGGATCTCACCAATAGAGGTACTAACGATCAGGAAAACTAATATGGAACGGAAGAATACCACCTATGAAGAACTTCTAAGAAAAACAGAACAAGGGCCCAAACTTAAACCCTACGAAGAGATAAAAAGCCTATTCATGGGTTGGTTGCAATACCACCAGGTGAATGACTTGTTAAAAGAAGATAAAAAGAACCTAGGTTTTGAAGACAAAAAGTCAAAATTCAACGTAGAGGTTGTAGAAGGTAAGAACAAAACATTGTCTAGAATATATGATCTGCTATTAGAATGGTACACAAAGGATGAGGAGGTGAAAGAGGCAATGATTAAATGGGCAGTTGATTTTGGTTACAATATTGACTTCGAAAGGTGGTTGGAACTGTGGAACAGCACTATAAAATTTACGGCCTGTATGACACTGAGAGAGAATGTCTGGAAGATGTTCTACAGATGGTATCATACGCCGGTGAAATTGGCCAAAATGTATAGGTTACAGAATAAGAAATGCTGGAAATGTGGTGAAGTGGAGGGAGATCTTTACCATATGTGGTGGCTGTGTAATAAGGTGAAAGGCTTTTGGGAATTAATATATAATGAACTCAAAAAAATATTTAAATATACCTTTCCCAAAAGGCCTGAAGCCTTCCTGTTGGGATTAATGGGTAAAGAAATTAAAAAAGAAGACAAGATAATATTTCTTTATGCCACCACAGCAGCAAGAATCCTGTTGGCACAAAATTGGAAACAATAATTGTCCCTTCTTCTTCTTCTTCTTCTTCTCCTTCTTCTTCTTCTTCTTCTTCTTCTTCTTCTTCTTCTTCTTCTTCTCCTCCTCCTCCTTCTTCTGAAATAATTTTTATTTGATTTTTACAAGATTATAACAATACCAAATCCATATCCACATTTAGAGATTTCTCTGAATCTTCAGACTTCCCCCTTCTGCTTCATGGGTCTTATTATCAACTTTTTCAACTGCATATTATTTCCTCATCCAAATTTTATGTCACTCCATTTTATCCATAATAATTTCTACATTACAAGTGTTATTGCAGTCCTGCTAATGTTTTCATCTGCTGACAGCGGTGTCTCAAGTTTGCCATTCTTCTCTGGTAAGGACTTTGTCTTCATTCCATCTCTGGGCAAGTAACATCCATGCGGCTGTCGTTGCATACGTAAAAAGTCTTTTCTGTTCCTTTGGGATCTTGGTACCTACACTTCCTAATAAAAAGGTTTCTTTATCAAAGTTATTTTAAACATTTTAAAAATTCATTATATATCATTTCAGTTCATTATATATCATTTCCTTTGGGAAAGAATAACTGTCTCTTCCTGCACAGGGCTCTGGGGCTTGGTGAACAATGCGGGAATAGGTGTCCCATCAGGTCCCAACGAATGGCTGACCAAAGATGACTTTGCAAAGGTGATCAATGTCAACCTGCTAGGGTTGATTGACGTGACGCTACACATGCTGCCGCTGGTGAGGAGAGCCAGAGGGAGGGTGGTCAATGTGTGCAGTGTGAATGGACGCCTGGCCTGCTTCGGAGGCGGTTACTGCCCATCAAAGTTTGGTGTGGAAGCCTTCTCTGACACCCTGAGGTAAAAACAAGCTCTGTAGCCTACTTTTGGTTTGGTTTGGTTTAGTGACATGGTGTTTCTCCAGGTGTAGGGAATAAAAAACAGGTGTTGGGAAATCAGGCTGCTGTCAAGGGCTGAACCTTCAATCACAGATCAAAAAGCAGACATTTGCACTGTTTGAGAAATAAGGATCCAGCTCATGCTATGCCCACACTGGACCTGAAATACATTTGCTCATCTCCAGATCTGCGGGGAAATATGTTTTTTCAAAATGCAAGCCTGAGATGAGATGGGAGGGGGAAGGTGCGTGCGTGGACTCCACAGATCTGATTGAATTTGCTCCACCACCGATGAGAGGCCATCACCTCTGCCAGCCCCCTCCAGACCCCCAGATGAGGATGCAACCCTGGCAGCACAGGGGCCAAACCATCGTGCTAACTGCCTCCCCGCCATTTGGTGAGGGTGGACGGAGAAGTTGTGGCTGGTTCTCAAAGATGGTTGGTTGTGTTTTGAGAGATGACAGCATCTTCAGAACAGTAGATCATCTGGGAGGGGCACCAGAAGGGGCAGGCTGGGTTACAGAAGGGCTTGCTGCCTCCTCCTCCATCACTACTGCTGCCTGCACCACCTTGTTGTCTCTGCCGGAATCCACACAGGGCCATCAAGGGGCTGCAGGGTCCCTGCCAGAGAGCTTGGCACAATTAGGACATGTTCAGTTTTTCACCTTTCAAATTCCAAAAATGGGGGTGCTAAAAAGTTGTAACATGACTTGGGAATTCAAAAGATATTTGGCTTCAATTGATACCATTTAGTTTTGACTGGTAAGTAAAAAGTGTGAAATTGCATAGAAATCATTAAAAATGCCAAGGACTTGCAGTTATATTATTATTATCGTTATTATTAAGCATTCATTACCTGACCTTTTCAGAAGGCAAAATAAAAATTCTATGATTTGCTGAGAGCAGCTGGTGTGCTTTTTAATCAAATGTAGGTTTACCAAGCTAAATGTTGCCAAATCAAAACAGTAACAGCACATTTGAATTTCCCAAACCCAAAGGCATACTTTTAAGTCCCCTCACGGAAGAAATTTGCAAAAATTAAGCTTCCGTCCAGAAAAGAACACCCCCTAATTGGCACATGGCCAAGGTGTGCAGCACTCAGGCACATGCCAGGAAAAAGAAAGATGAGGGAGTAGAGCAACCAGCTAAGAAGGCAGGCAGAGGCCAGGCCTGGGTGGCTGGGTGACCCTGGCGCAGACCCCACCCGCTCCTGCTGAGGACCCCTCCCTCTCGCAAGGCCACCAGCTTGGCTGACTCTGCCCTCTGCCAGGCCTGGCAGCCCTGCTCCCCCAGAATCCCCAGGCGCCTCATTTGTTTTGCATGCCCGGGCCCTTTCCTAGCAGTCAAACAGCCCACTATATTTTAGTCTTCAGTAGGAAATGATGTTTCTTGACTTTTCCTCCCTCGTTCAGAAGAGAGCTCCATCCTTTTGGAATCAAAGTCAGCATTGTTGAACCAGGTAGTTTCAAGACACCCATACAGTCAAAATTAGCTGAGTCCTACGAACCTTTATGGAGCCGGTTACCTTCTGACCTGAAGGAATGCTATGGGCGGAAGTACTTTGAGCAATGTGAGTAGACCTGGGGGAGAAACTCAGTTTGGTATGAAAGCTACCTAGTTCACACTTAACAAAACAACACATGAATCAACGAAACAACACATGAACCAAAATTCAGACTCATGTAAATTTAGTAATGCACTTTCCCCAAACAATAATGTGTACAAAAATACATACTGTTACACAAGCCTGGTGTCTGCCCCCTCAACAACTCTGCACTCCCCCCCAAAAGTCACGCCAAGTCTAATCCATATCCCAATTAAGCCTGGTATTTATTAATTTCTAGGGCTTAGCTATATCTATAACAATACATTAGTAGAAAGTATGTATCAAAAGTGAAGCTAGCATACAAGAATACTCTGTGTTAGAGAACACTGCTTGCAAAAATGTGTCCCTTGTGGAAAATTGCATATAAAAATATTAAGAGAAATTGGCACTGAAATGCTGGTAAAATTTTGTGAGAATTTTCAAACCACAAACTGAAATGTGGAGAACTGAACTTAAAGGTTGAATAAATGAGAAACAGAATCTAAAATTGACAGGCTGAGCCATCCCTGACTGAAATTTCTTTTAAAAAAAATTATGAAACTATATCTAGTGGCAGCTATGTATAGAAAATTATTCAAAACATCCACTCCAAGATGACACCCAATGATTCCACTTTCTATAAACCAATATTTCCATTAATCCTCAAACCCAGATATCATAAGTTCATTTTCTTTTTCATGCAAAAAAGTGTATAAGGCGTTTCCAATCTTTAATAAATAGTGACAATGATTATTCTCTTATTAAACACGTCAACTTTACCATCCCAGCTAAATCCAATATTATTTACATCCATTCCCTCATGGTAGATAATGATGAATCTTTCGATCTTTGTGCATAGAAGAGTATTGCCATTGTGATCATGTATTGAAATAATGTTCTGCAGTCTTTTTCTAATTGTCTATCCATTATTCCTAGCTGGAAAAGTTCCGATGGCAATTGAATGTGAAACTTTAAAATGTTTGCATCATTGTATGTATTTGAATCCAATATTTCTTGGCAATTTTACAAGTCCACCAAGCATGACAAAATGGGTCTGCATATTTTTCACACTTCCAACAAACATTTCAAACACCTTTATACAGTCTAAATAATTTAACTGGAGTTAGATACCATTGGTACATCATTTTATGTACCTAATCTGCACCTTCAGCTTCCAAAAGATTCTAGGTGCCACCTAGGCTGTTGCAAGGATAATGTTTCTTTTGCTTCATGTTTCTCACAAACAGGTTGCAAAATAAGCGAATATTTCCAAAAGGCTGGCAGCGACAACCTTCACCTGGTCACCGACTGCATAGAACATGCCCTGACATCCTGCTCCCCTCGCACTCGCTACTCTCCAGGCTGGGATGCAAAGCTCTTCTACCTTCCTGTCTCTTACTTTCCAACGTCCATCACTGACTTCGTGATGAGCTGCATTTGGCCTAAACCAGCTCAAGCAATATAGGGTTGTTGTTGTTTTAAAATAGCGACTATAGAATAATCAAAACATACAATACAACAAAGTAAAGAACCAAGAGGCAACTTACTATTATAGATCCACCATTCATAATTAGATATTACTTTGAAACATAGGATCGTTCAATCCAAGATTGATCAAGAAAATTGGAATTTTATTTTCATGGAAGCAAAGAGGGCTAATAGTGATGAGTATCACATTTTTTTGTTTTCATTGCTGTACAGTGGTACCTCAGGTTAAGGACTTAACGTTCTTAACCTGAAACTGTTCTTAACCTGAAGCACCACTTTAGCTAATGGGGCCTCCTGCTGCCACTGCGCTGCCACCGCGTGATTTCAGTTCTCATCCTGAAGCAAAGTTCTTAACCTGAACAGAAATCAATCCAGTGAATATTGATGTAGGTTTGAGGGGGTCAGACTGCATGATGCCCTGGGCCCCTTCCGGTTCTTGGGCTTCTGTATCAGTGGGAGTAGAAAGCTTGAGAACAAGTTTTCCAAACCATTCCCTTTGTCTAGGCAATTGTAAGACAATGGCCATGGCTGGATACTTAAGCACCATGATTATCCCAAAAGAATGAGCCGTCCTGCAAAAGCTACAACTAAGTGATGGTGTCCTCCCCCCCCCCTCACCTGGCCAGTAGATAGAGAACAAGGGTGTAGCTGAGCTAGAAAGGAGGAGAAGCTAGAAAGACAGGTCCATGTCTGATCTGTGCTGGGCTTTGGAGCTCCCCTAGAAACCTAATCGGGGAGCAAGATCTATTGGGGTGGGGGGGGCCACCAGGGGCGCATTGGAAGATGGCCGACAATACCATCTCTCCGGCTCACACGAGGTAATTAAGAGGCTGATATGGGAGTATGCAGCCTCCGTTGTTGCCCCAAGGACATGGGGAACACTGCCTTGCCTGCTGTGGCCATAAATCACCCCCGGTTCCAAAAGAAGGGGGTGAGGGCACTAGGCACAAAACCCTTGTGTGGGTCTGGCTCTTCCGGACACTGTCTCTGATCGCGCACTGGCTGCAGCAACTTGAAATAAACAATTAGAAAAGAAGCAAATGCACATATTTCAAGTGAAGAACGGGAGTGAAGACTGCTAATTGAAGTGACCTCTGCCAAAGGAGCGACGGGTTGTATTTGACGGAATATAACATGAAGAAGATACATCAAAGGTTTAGTATGCCGGAGCGGGACTGGATGGGGGGGGACTTTTTTTTCTTTTCTTCTATGTGATTAACCAATAACCCCTCCCCAACCAAGAAAGAACCGTCACATAACTGACCTAAGCAGTATGATTAAAAACTGTGTGGAGATGAAATACTAACCACAAGTTTGACTTATGGAGATCGAGAAAAGAACAAGGGCTCTTGGAATGGCGCAGTAATAAAAAGGGAGTCGCCATCTTGGCAGGTTCTGTCGAAAGATTTATGATCGGGAGGAGGAAGCTTTGTTTTCATATTGGATTCCTGGCAGAACCTCCTCAGGAATGAGAAACGGAGTGACAGACCTGTGAAAAATTTAATGAGTAGACGGTAAGAGTGTTTTTCTTTATGGAAGCGATGAAATATGGTAGCCGTCTGAATATGACCCTTGGACGAACGGAAAAACCCACACAGGATTACAAATTTGTTTCAACCCGCTTGTGGAGACTATCAGAGGTCACAAAGACAAAAAGAAAGGGAAAATATATGAAAATAACAAGAAGAGATGTGGAAAACAACAAGAAAGGATTGCATAGAATTGTGAACATTATTTGTGGACATTAAAGTAGCAGCAACAAGAGGATTGGATCCCTTTCGGAACTTGAAATATGGGTACCCCCAACAAAAAATTTAAAATTCGGCTTTGTAATTTGGAATTTATGTGATTTGATTTAATTGGTCTGTTAATAAAAATTATTCAGATAAGATCTATTGGAGTGTTCATGCTCCATCGTAAGGTCATTTTGAATTCGGATTCTGACTCCCGCGACATTAGCGACCCCTCCCAGTTTGGTGTCTTCTGCCAATGTGATGAGCATCCCCTCAATTCCTTCATCCAAGTCATTTATAAAGACGTTGAACAACAACGAGCCCAGGACAGAACCCTGTGGCACCCCACTGGTCACTTTTTCCCACGGTGATGAGGAACCATTAATGCATGCATAGGCAAACTCAGCCCTCCAGATGTTTTGGGACTACAACTCCCATCACCCCTGACCACTTGTCCTGTTAGCTAGGGATAATGGGCGTTGTAGTCCCAAAACACCTGGAGAGCCAAGTTTGCCTATGCCTGCATTAATGAGTATCTTTGGGTTCGGTCAGTCAATCCACCTAACAGTTACTTCATTTAACCCACATTTTACCAGCTTCCTCATGAGACTGTCATGGGGGACTTTGTCAAAAGCCTTACTGAAATCAAGGTGCACTATGTCCACAGAATTCCCCTGATCCACCAAGTTTGTAACTCCATCCAAAAAAGACATCAGATTGCTCTGGCAGGACTTATTTTGCAGGGCATTGGACTAGATGGCCATTGTGGTCCCTTATTAGAAAATGTGACTACTATCACAGAATACGAAAATAAAATGGCCTATGCTATTCTTTTTTTTCTTTCTTTCTTTTTCTTTTGCCAAACTACCTCATGACATAGGGTCCAAAGGAGTCAGGCAACAATACAGTGGTACCTCAGGTTACATATGCTTCAGGTTACAGACTCTGTTAACCCAGAAATAGTACGTCGGGTTAAGAACTTTGCTTCAGGATGACAACAGAAATCACGTGGCGGCGGTGCAGCGGCAGCATGAGGCCCCATTAGCTAAAGTGGTGCTTCAGGTTAAGAACAGTTTCAGGTTAAGAACGTTAAGTCCTTAACCCGAGGTACCACTGTACAGCAATGAAAACAAAAAAGCAAAAAAACTTCGAATCTGCAAATAAGATAGGAAAGTATTTGGCGTGGCAAATAAGAGAAAGGAGGAAACAAAATATGATTTGTAAGATAAGGGAAGGAGAAAGGATTGTGGAAGAACCAAAAGAAATAAAAAGGATATTCCAAAAATACTATAGGGACCTATACAAAAGAGGAAAAGAAACAGAACAAGAAATAGATTGCTTTTTGCAAAAATATCACCTGAAACCAATTATAAAAAAAGAAAAAGAGATTTTAGACCAGATAATTACACAAGAGGAAATAAAGAAAGCCATAAGAAAGATGAAAATTGGGAAAGCGCCGGGGCCGGATGGCCTCCCGGCAAAATACTATAAAACATTAAGTAATCAATTATCTCCAGTGTTAAGTGAGGTGATGAATAATATACTAAAAGAAGGAAGGATCCCGAACACCTGGAAGGAAGCATATATCACATTGATTCCTAAAAAAGACGTAGATACTTTGGAAGTGAAGAATTATAGGCCAATTTCATTATTAAATAATGACTACAAGTTATTACAAGTTATTTGCAGATGTAATGGCAGAAAGATTAAAAAAGGTTTTAAACAATAAAATACATAAAGATCAGACAGGCTTCCTTCCGGGGAGACAACTAAGGGATAATGTTAGAAATGTGATAAATATCATTGAATATTTAGATATGAATATAGATAGACAGGCGGCCCTAGTATTCATAGATGCCGAAAAGGCATTTGATAATATCTCGTGGGACTTCCTAAGGAAAAGTTTGGAAATGATGGGAATAGGAGAAAAATTTAGAAGAGGCATAGATGCAATATACAAGGAACAAAAGGCAAAATTGGTAATAAATAACACCACAACAGAATATTTCAGTATATACAAAGGAACTAGGCAAGGCTGCCCCCTGTCTCCTTTATTATTTATATCAGTATTGGAAATACTTAACGAGAGATTGAGGGAGGCAGCAGATGTTAAAGGAGTCAAGGTAGGAAAGAGGGAATACAAAATCAAAGCTTTCGCAGACGATATTGTACTAACCCTAGAAGACCCAAAGGATAGTGTAAAGGAAGCTCTACAAAAAATTGAAGAATTTGGAGAGGTGGCAGGATTCAAGGTAAACAAAACCAAAACTAAAATGTTGGTTAAAAATCTAACGAAGGAAGAAACGGTAGATTTAGAGCAAAGGGCGGAAATTACAGCGGTTAAGAAAGTGAAATATCTCGGAATCTGGATCACGGCTAAAAATATAAACCTATATAAGGATAATTACGAGGCCACTTGGAGGAATATAAAAAAAGACCTGGAAACCTGGGGGAGGCTGAAATTCTCCTTTTTGGGAAGGATAGCAGCGGTTAAAATGAACATTCTGCCCAGAATGTTGTTCCTATTCCAAACTATCCCTGTACTCAAAGGTCTAAAACAGTGTAAAGAGTGGCAGAGAGCCCTGGCAAAATACATCTGGCAGGGGAAAAGACCACGGATAAAAATGAAAATATTGATAGATAAAAAAGAAAGAGGGGGTTTCTCTCTCCCGGATCTGAGCTTATATTATGAAGCGGCGTGCCTACTTTGGTTAAAAGACTGGATAAAATTGGAGAATAGAGACATATTAGATCTGGAAGGCTTTAATAACAGGTACGGGTGGCACGCGTACCTGTGGTACGAGAAGGTGAAGGTCCACAGGAACTTTTTAAATAATATTTTCAGGGGACCAATTTACCAGATATGGGAAAGAAATAAAAACCTCTTAGAAAGGAAAACACCCTGGTGGATCTCACCAATAGAGGTACTAACGATCAGGAAAACTAATATGGAACGGAAGAATACCACCTATGAAGAACTTCTAAGAAAAACAGAACAAGGGCCCAAACTTAAACCCTACGAAGAGATAAAAAGCCTATTCATGGGTTGGTTGCAATACCACCAGGTGAATGACTTGTTAAAAGAAGATAAAAAGAACCTAGGTTTTGAAGACAAAAAGTCAAAATTCAACGTAGAGGTTGTAGAAGGTAAGAACAAAACATTGTCTAGAATATATGATCTGCTATTAGAATGGTACACAAAGGATGAGGAGGTGAAAGAGGCAATGATTAAATGGGCAGTTGATTTTGGTTACAATATTGACTTCGAAAGGTGGTTGGAACTGTGGAACAGCACTATAAAATTTACGGCCTGTATGACACTGAGAGAGAATGTCTGGAAGATGTTCTACAGATGGTATCATACGCCGGTGAAATTGGCCAAAATGTATAGGTTACAGAATAAGAAATGCTGGAAATGTGGTGAAGTGGAGGGAGATCTTTACCATATGTGGTGGCTGTGTAATAAGGTGAAAGGCTTTTGGGAATTAATATATAATGAACTCAAAAAAATATTTAAATATACCTTTCCCAAAAGGCCTGAAGCCTTCCTGTTGGGATTAATGGGTAAAGAAATTAAAAAAGAAGACAAGATAATATTTCTTTATGCCACCACAGCAGCAAGAATCCTGTTGGCACAAAATTGGAAACAATAATTGTCCCTTCTTCTTCTTCTTCTTCTTCTCCTTCTTCTTCTTCTTCTTCTTCTTCTTCTTCTTCTTCTTCTTCTCCTCCTCCTCCTTCTTCTGAAATAATTTTTATTTGATTTTTACAAGATTATAACAATACCAAATCCATATCCACATTTAGAGATTTCTCTGAATCTTCAGACTTCCCCCTTCTGCTTCATGGGTCTTATTATCAACTTTTTCAACTGCATATTATTTCCTCATCCAAATTTTATGTCACTCCATTTTATCCATAATAATTTCTACATTACAAGTGTTATTGCAGTCCTGCTAATGTTTTCATCTGCTGACAGCGGTGTCTCAAGTTTGCCATTCTTCTCTGGTAAGGACTTTGTCTTCATTCCATCTCTGGGCAAGTAACATCCATGCGGCTGTCGTTGCATACGTAAAAAGTCTTTTCTGTTCCTTTGGGATCTTGGTACCTACACTTCCTAATAAAAAGGTTTCTTTATCAAAGTTATTTTAAACATTTTAAAAATTCATTATATATCATTTCAGTTCATTATATATCATTTCCTTTGGGAAAGAATAACTGTCTCTTCCTGCACAGGGCTCTGGGGCTTGGTGAACAATGCGGGAATAGGTGTCCCATCAGGTCCCAACGAATGGCTGACCAAAGATGACTTTGCAAAGGTGATCAATGTCAACCTGCTAGGGTTGATTGACGTGACGCTACACATGCTGCCGCTGGTGAGGAGAGCCAGAGGGAGGGTGGTCAATGTGTGCAGTGTGAATGGACGCCTGGCCTGCTTCGGAGGCGGTTACTGCCCATCAAAGTTTGGTGTGGAAGCCTTCTCTGACACCCTGAGGTAAAAACAAGCTCTGTAGCCTACTTTTGGTTTGGTTTGGTTTAGTGACATGGTGTTTCTCCAGGTGTAGGGAATAAAAAACAGGTGTTGGGAAATCAGGCTGCTGTCAAGGGCTGAACCTTCAATCACAGATCAAAAAGCAGACATTTGCACTGTTTGAGAAATAAGGATCCAGCTCATGCTATGCCCACACTGGACCTGAAATACATTTGCTCATCTCCAGATCTGCGGGGAAATATGTTTTTTCAAAATGCAAGCCTGAGATGAGATGGGAGGGGGAAGGTGCGTGCGTGGACTCCACAGATCTGATTGAATTTGCTCCACCACCGATGAGAGGCCATCACCTCTGCCAGCCCCCTCCAGACCCCCAGATGAGGATGCAACCCTGGCAGCACAGGGGCCAAACCATCGTGCTAACTGCCTCCCCGCCATTTGGTGAGGGTGGACGGAGAAGTTGTGGCTGGTTCTCAAAGATGGTTGGTTGTGTTTTGAGAGATGACAGCATCTTCAGAACAGTAGATCATCTGGGAGGGGCACCAGAAGGGGCAGGCTGGGTTACAGAAGGGCTTGCTGCCTCCTCCTCCATCACTACTGCTGCCTGCACCACCTTGTTGTCTCTGCCGGAATCCACACAGGGCCATCAAGGGGCTGCAGGGTCCCTGCCAGAGAGCTTGGCACAATTAGGACATGTTCAGTTTTTCACCTTTCAAATTCCAAAAATGGGGGTGCTAAAAAGTTGTAACATGACTTGGGAATTCAAAAGATATTTGGCTTCAATTGATACCATTTAGTTTTGACTGGTAAGTAAAAAGTGTGAAATTGCATAGAAATCATTAAAAATGCCAAGGACTTGCAGTTATATTATTATTATCGTTATTATTAAGCATTCATTACCTGACCTTTTCAGAAGGCAAAATAAAAATTCTATGATTTGCTGAGAGCAGCTGGTGTGCTTTTTAATCAAATGTAGGTTTACCAAGCTAAATGTTGCCAAATCAAAACAGTAACAGCACATTTGAATTTCCCAAACCCAAAGGCATACTTTTAAGTCCCCTCACGGAAGAAATTTGCAAAAATTAAGCTTCCGTCCAGAAAAGAACACCCCCTAATTGGCACATGGCCAAGGTGTGCAGCACTCAGGCACATGCCAGGAAAAAGAAAGATGAGGGAGTAGAGCAACCAGCTAAGAAGGCAGGCAGAGGCCAGGCCTGGGTGGCTGGGTGACCCTGGCGCAGACCCCACCCGCTCCTGCTGAGGACCCCTCCCTCTCGCAAGGCCACCAGCTTGGCTGACTCTGCCCTCTGCCAGGCCTGGCAGCCCTGCTCCCCCAGAATCCCCAGGCGCCTCATTTGTTTTGCATGCCCGGGCCCTTTCCTAGCAGTCAAACAGCCCACTATATTTTAGTCTTCAGTAGGAAATGATGTTTCTTGACTTTTCCTCCCTCGTTCAGAAGAGAGCTCCATCCTTTTGGAATCAAAGTCAGCATTGTTGAACCAGGTAGTTTCAAGACACCCATACAGTCAAAATTAGCTGAGTCCTACGAACCTTTATGGAGCCGGTTACCTTCTGACCTGAAGGAATGCTATGGGCGGAAGTACTTTGAGCAATGTGAGTAGACCTGGGGGAGAAACTCAGTTTGGTATGAAAGCTACCTAGTTCACACTTAACAAAACAACACATGAATCAACGAAACAACACATGAACCAAAATTCAGACTCATGTAAATTTAGTAATGCACTTTCCCCAAACAATAATGTGTACAAAAATACATACTGTTACACAAGCCTGGTGTCTGCCCCCTCAACAACTCTGCACTCCCCCCCAAAAGTCACGCCAAGTCTAATCCATATCCCAATTAAGCCTGGTATTTATTAATTTCTAGGGCTTAGCTATATCTATAACAATACATTAGTAGAAAGTATGTATCAAAAGTGAAGCTAGCATACAAGAATACTCTGTGTTAGAGAACACTGCTTGCAAAAATGTGTCCCTTGTGGAAAATTGCATATAAAAATATTAAGAGAAATTGGCACTGAAATGCTGGTAAAATTTTGTGAGAATTTTCAAACCACAAACTGAAATGTGGAGAACTGAACTTAAAGGTTGAATAAATGAGAAACAGAATCTAAAATTGACAGGCTGAGCCATCCCTGACTGAAATTTCTTTTAAAAAAAATTATGAAACTATATCTAGTGGCAGCTATGTATAGAAAATTATTCAAAACATCCACTCCAAGATGACACCCAATGATTCCACTTTCTATAAACCAATATTTCCATTAATCCTCAAACCCAGATATCATAAGTTCATTTTCTTTTTCATGCAAAAAAGTGTATAAGGCGTTTCCAATCTTTAATAAATAGTGACAATGATTATTCTCTTATTAAACACGTCAACTTTACCATCCCAGCTAAATCCAATATTATTTACATCCATTCCCTCATGGTAGATAATGATGAATCTTTCGATCTTTGTGCATAGAAGAGTATTGCCATTGTGATCATGTATTGAAATAATGTTCTGCAGTCTTTTTCTAATTGTCTATCCATTATTCCTAGCTGGAAAAGTTCCGATGGCAATTGAATGTGAAACTTTAAAATGTTTGCATCATTGTATGTATTTGAATCCAATATTTCTTGGCAATTTTACAAGTCCACCAAGCATGACAAAATGGGTCTGCATATTTTTCACACTTCCAACAAACATTTCAAACACCTTTATACAGTCTAAATAATTTAACTGGAGTTAGATACCATTGGTACATCATTTTATGTACCTAATCTGCACCTTCAGCTTCCAAAAGATTCTAGGTGCCACCTAGGCTGTTGCAAGGATAATGTTTCTTTTGCTTCATGTTTCTCACAAACAGGTTGCAAAATAAGCGAATATTTCCAAAAGGCTGGCAGCGACAACCTTCACCTGGTCACCGACTGCATAGAACATGCCCTGACATCCTGCTCCCCTCGCACTCGCTACTCTCCAGGCTGGGATGCAAAGCTCTTCTACCTTCCTGTCTCTTACTTTCCAACGTCCATCACTGACTTCGTGATGAGCTGCATTTGGCCTAAACCAGCTCAAGCAATATAGGGTTGTTGTTGTTTTAAAATAGCGACTATAGAATAATCAAAACATACAATACAACAAAGTAAAGAACCAAGAGGCAACTTACTATTATAGATCCACCATTCATAATTAGATATTACTTTGAAACATAGGATCGTTCAATCCAAGATTGATCAAGAAAATTGGAATTTTATTTTCATGGAAGCAAAGAGGGCTAATAGTGATGAGTATCACATTTTTTTGTTTTCATTGCTGTACAGTGGTACCTCGGGTTAAGGACTTAACGTTCTTAACCTGAAACTGTTCTTAACCTGAAGCACCACTTTAGCTAATGGGGCCTCCTGCTGCCACTGCGCTGCCACCGCATGATTTCAGTTCTCATCCTGAAGCAAAGTTCTTAACCTGAACAGAAATCAATCCAGTGAATATTGATGTAGGTTTGAGGGGGTCAGACTGCATGATGCCCTGGGCCCCTTCCGGTTCTTGGGCTTCTGTATCAGTGGGAGTAGAAAGCTTGAGAACAAGTTTTCCAAACCATTCCCTTTGTCTAGGCAATTGTAAGACAATGGCCATGGCTGGATACTTAAGCACCATGATTATCCCAAAAGAATGAGCCGTCCTGCAAAAGCTACAACTAAGTGATGGTGTCCTCCCCCCCCCCCTCACCTGGCCAGTAGATAGAGAACAAGGGTGTAGCTGAGCTAGAAAGGAGGAGAAGCTAGAAAGACAGGTCCATGTCTGATCTGTGCTGGGCTTTGGAGCTCCCCTAGAAACCTAATCAGGGAGCAAGATCTATTGGGGTGGGGGGGGCCACCAGGGGCGCATTGGAAGATGGCCGACAATACCATCTCTCCGGCTCACACGAGGTAATTAAGAGGCTGATATGGGAGTATGCAGCCTCCGTTGTTGCCCCAAGGACATGGGGAACACTGCCTTGCCTGCTGTGGCCATAAATCACCCCCGGTTCCAAAAGAAGGGGGTGAGGGCACTAGGCACAAAACCCTTGTGTGGGTCTGGCTCTTCCGGACACTGTCTCTGATCGCGCACTGGCTGCAGCAACTTGAAATAAACAATTAGAAAAGAAGCAAATGCACATATTTCAAGTGAAGAACGGGAGTGAAGACTGCTAATTGAAGTGACCTCTGCCAAAGGAGCGACGGGTTGTATTTGACGGAATATAACATGAAGAAGATACATCAAAGGTTTAGTATGCCGGAGCGGGACTGGATGGGGGGGGACTTTTTTTTCTTTTCTTCTATGTGATTAACCAATAACCCCTCCCCAACCAAGAAAGAACCGTCACATAACTGACCTAAGCAGTATGATTAAAAACTGTGTGGAGATGAAATACTAACCACAAGTTTGACTTATGGAGATCGAGAAAAGAACAAGGGCTCTTGGAATGGCGCAGTAATAAAAAGGGAGTCGCCATCTTGGCAGGTTCTGTCGAAAGATTTATGATCGGGAGGAGGAAGCTTTGTTTTCATATTGGATTCCTGGCAGAACCTCCTCAGGAATGAGAAACGGAGTGACAGACCTGTGAAAAATTTAATGAGTAGACGGTAAGAGTGTTTTTCTTTATGGAAGCGATGAAATATGGTAGCCGTCTGAATATGACCCTTGGACGAACGGAAAAACCCACACAGGATTACAAATTTGTTTCAACCCGCTTGTGGAGACTATCAGAGGTCACAAAGACAAAAAGAAAGGGAAAATATATGAAAATAACAAGAAGAGATGTGGAAAACAACAAGAAAGGATTGCATAGAATTGTGAACATTATTTGTGGACATTAAAGTAGCAGCAACAAGAGGATTGGATCCCTTTCGGAACTTGAAATATGGGTACCCCCAACAAAAAATTTAAAATTCGGCTTTGTAATTTGGAATTTATGTGATTTGATTTAATTGGTCTGTTAATAAAAATTATTCAGATAAGATCTATTGGAGTGTTCATGCTCCATCGTAAGGTCATTTTGAATTCGGATTCTGACTCCCGCGACATTAGCGACCCCTCCCAGTTTGGTGTCTTCTGCCAATGTGATGAGCATCCCCTCAATTCCTTCATCCAAGTCATTTATAAAGACGTTGAACAACAACGAGCCCAGGACAGAACCCTGTGGCACCCCACTGGTCACTTTTTCCCACGGTGATGAGGAACCATTAATGCATGCATAGGCAAACTCAGCCCTCCAGATGTTTTGGGACTACAACTCCCATCACCCCTGACCACTTGTCCTGTTAGCTAGGGATAATGGGCGTTGTAGTCCCAAAACACCTGGAGAGCCAAGTTTGCCTATGCCTGCATTAATGAGTATCTTTGGGTTCGGTCAGTCAATCCACCTAACAGTTACTTCATTTAACCCACATTTTACCAGCTTCCTCATGAGACTGTCATGGGGGGACTTTGTCAAAAGCCTTACTGAAATCAAGGTGCACTATGTCCACAGAATTCCCCTGATCCACCAAGTTTGTAACTCCATCCAAAAAAGACATCAGATTGCTCTGGCAGGACTTATTTTGCAGGGCATTGGACTAGATGGCCATTGTGGTCCCTTATTAGAAAATGTGACTACTATCACAGAATACGAAAATAAAATGGCCTATGCTATTCTTTTTTTTCTTTCTTTCTTTTTCTTTTGCCAAACTACCTCATGACATAGGGTCCAAAGGAGTCAGGCAACAATACAGTGGTACCTCAGGTTACATATGCTTCAGGTTACAGACTCTGTTAACCCAGAAATAGTACGTCGGGTTAAGAACTTTGCTTCAGGATGACAACAGAAATCACGTGGCGGCGGTGCAGCGGCAGCATGAGGCCCCATTAGCTAAAGTGGTGCTTCAGGTTAAGAACAGTTTCAGGTTAAGAACGTTAAGTCCTTAACCCGAGGTACCACTGTACAGCAATGAAAACAAAAAAGCAAAAAAACTTCGAATCTGCAAATAAGATAGGAAAGTATTTGGCGTGGCAAATAAGAGAAAGGAGGAAACAAAATATGATTTGTAAGATAAGGGAAGGAGAAAGGATTGTGGAAGAACCAAAAGAAATAAAAAGGATATTCCAAAAATACTATAGGGACCTATACAAAAGAGGAAAAGAAACAGAACAAGAAATAGATTGCTTTTTGCAAAAATATCACCTGAAACCAATTATAAAAAAAGAAAAAGAGATTTTAGACCAGATAATTACACAAGAGGAAATAAAGAAAGCCATAAGAAAGATGAAAATTGGGAAAGCGCCGGGGCCGGATGGCCTCCCGGCAAAATACTATAAAACATTAAGTAATCAATTATCTCCAGTGTTAAGTGAGGTGATGAATAATATACTAAAAGAAGGAAGGATCCCGAACACCTGGAAGGAAGCATATATCACATTGATTCCTAAAAAAGACGTAGATACTTTGGAAGTGAAGAATTATAGGCCAATTTCATTATTAAATAATGACTACAAGTTATTACAAGTTATTTGCAGATGTAATGGCAGAAAGATTAAAAAAGGTTTTAAACAATAAAATACATAAAGATCAGACAGGCTTCCTTCCGGGGAGACAACTAAGGGATAATGTTAGAAATGTGATAAATATCATTGAATATTTAGATATGAATATAGATAGACAGGCGGCCCTAGTATTCATAGATGCCGAAAAGGCATTTGATAATATCTCGTGGGACTTCCTAAGGAAAAGTTTGGAAATGATGGGAATAGGAGAAAAATTTAGAAGAGGCATAGATGCAATATACAAGGAACAAAAGGCAAAATTGGTAATAAATAACACCACAACAGAATATTTCAGTATATACAAAGGAACTAGGCAAGGCTGCCCCCTGTCTCCTTTATTATTTATATCAGTATTGGAAATACTTAACGAGAGATTGAGGGAGGCAGCAGATGTTAAAGGAGTCAAGGTAGGAAAGAGGGAATACAAAATCAAAGCTTTCGCAGACGATATTGTACTAACCCTAGAAGACCCAAAGGATAGTGTAAAGGAAGCTCTACAAAAAATTGAAGAATTTGGAGAGGTGGCAGGATTCAAGGTAAACAAAACCAAAACTAAAATGTTGGTTAAAAATCTAACGAAGGAAGAAACGGTAGATTTAGAGCAAAGGGCGGAAATTACAGCGGTTAAGAAAGTGAAATATCTCGGAATCTGGATCACGGCTAAAAATATAAACCTATATAAGGATAATTACGAGGCCACTTGGAGGAATATAAAAAAAGACCTGGAAACCTGGGGGAGGCTGAAATTCTCCTTTTTGGGAAGGATAGCAGCGGTTAAAATGAACATTCTGCCCAGAATGTTGTTCCTATTCCAAACTATCCCTGTACTCAAAGGTCTAAAACAGTGTAAAGAGTGGCAGAGAGCCCTGGCAAAATACATCTGGCAGGGGAAAAGACCACGGATAAAAATGAAAATATTGATAGATAAAAAAGAAAGAGGGGGTTTCTCTCTCCCGGATCTGAGCTTATATTATGAAGCGGCGTGCCTACTTTGGTTAAAAGACTGGATAAAATTGGAGAATAGAGACATATTAGATCTGGAAGGCTTTAATAACAGGTACGGGTGGCACGCGTACCTGTGGTACGAGAAGGTGAAGGTCCACAGGAACTTTTTAAATAATATTTTCAGGGGACCAATTTACCAGATATGGGAAAGAAATAAAAACCTCTTAGAAAGGAAAACACCCTGGTGGATCTCACCAATAGAGGTACTAACGATCAGGAAAACTAATATGGAACGGAAGAATACCACCTATGAAGAACTTCTAAGAAAAACAGAACAAGGGCCCAAACTTAAACCCTACGAAGAGATAAAAAGCCTATTCATGGGTTGGTTGCAATACCACCAGGTGAATGACTTGTTAAAAGAAGATAAAAAGAACCTAGGTTTTGAAGACAAAAAGTCAAAATTCAACGTAGAGGTTGTAGAAGGTAAGAACAAAACATTGTCTAGAATATATGATCTGCTATTAGAATGGTACACAAAGGATGAGGAGGTGAAAGAGGCAATGATTAAATGGGCAGTTGATTTTGGTTACAATATTGACTTCGAAAGGTGGTTGGAACTGTGGAACAGCACTATAAAATTTACGGCCTGTATGACACTGAGAGAGAATGTCTGGAAGATGTTCTACAGATGGTATCATACGCCGGTGAAATTGGCCAAAATGTATAGGTTACAGAATAAGAAATGCTGGAAATGTGGTGAAGTGGAGGGAGATCTTTACCATATGTGGTGGCTGTGTAATAAGGTGAAAGGCTTTTGGGAATTAATATATAATGAACTCAAAAAAATATTTAAATATACCTTTCCCAAAAGGCCTGAAGCCTTCCTGTTGGGATTAATGGGTAAAGAAATTAAAAAAGAAGACAAGATAATATTTCTTTATGCCACCACAGCAGCAAGAATCCTGTTGGCACAAAATTGGAAACTGGAAACTTTGCCCAGCATAAGTGATTGGCAGGTTAAAATGATAAATTATGCCAAGCTTGACAGATTAACAGGTAGAATTCGAGATCAAGACGAACAGAAATTTCAGAAAAATTGGAGTAAATATTGGAAATATATTGGAATAAATCTATAAAGGGAACTGGCAGGGTTAGAAAAAATCTATCAGCGATTAACTCTAAGATCAAAAATCAATTACGTGACTGTGTATTTATTCGATACTTACCAAAAGGGTGGAGGGGAGTCTAAGGCTAGGTTGAGCCTAAATAGTATGACTACTTATGATTATTTTATTTTTTCTTTTCCTTTTAGTATTGTTTGGGGAAGGGAAATAATAAGCTATGTAAACAAATTAGCTATGTAAACAAATTAGCTATGTAAACAAATTATATTTATACTCATTTCAAGATAGTTTTGGGTATACATATGTTTATTGCGAATGGTTATAAGTACATATATTGTTATAATTTTTGTACTTTGATTTGTTTTTGTTTTTGCATACTTTCAATAAAAATGTATGGGGGAAAAAGTGGTGCTTCAGGTTAAGAACAGTTTCAGGTTAAGAACGTTAAGTCCTTAACCCGAGGTACCACTGTACAGCAATGAGCTTTTATTAATTATTGGAAAAGGAATTTGTTTGCAAATGTAGTACAGTATATGATCTATTATGAATATAGCCCGAATGTATGTTAGAAAATTCTGAAAGCTTTTTAAAAACAAAGAACTAATTAGATTAAGATCAAATTTTATGTGTGAGGAGTGGGATGAATGGAAGAAGCAGAAACTTCCAATTTCCCCCCTCACCACAGTCTCTACAGTGAGGTCAGGACTGGCTGCCACAGAATAAAACAAACAAACAAACGAGAAGTTGAGGGTTACACCTGAGGTTCCCACACCGCCTCTTGCATGAATTGCAGCTTGAGAAGCCATGTGTTTTTTATGCAACAGACGGAACATTACTGGGGGCAGCCCTTTTCTCCATGCACCTCCAGACTGGGGCAGAGTTGTGCCTGTTGAATTTCTACCCAATATCCAGTTAGTAAGGCAAAAAACTTTTCAGAAGGGAAACAAAGTGGCGCACGAAAAGCTAGGAGTGAACAGACCTGTCAGTTTTGGTTTCTCTCTGTCTTTTATTAAGTGGGAGGAAGACAGCTGCTTCCATTCTACTGCAGTTTGGTTTCCACCAGACACATGAATTGCCTCGCTGTCTGCTGTTTAGTACAAGTTACTTAGCTTACATAATGTGCATTCATGTCAGTGTAAAGGAATCATCAGATCCAAAAAAGTTATTGATTACATGGCATTTGCAGACTTGGGGATGCCTCTTCTTTATTCAGTCTAAGAAGCTCCCACCTGGCCCCAGATCTGGAGGGAAGAAGGGGCTGGGGGACGCTAGATGGAAAGACCCTGCACGATTCTGGCACTCTCCAAAGCTGTCTCCGGGAGCGATAAGTCTCCATTTCTTAAGCAGCTGGTGAAGGAACAACACTGGGCAGACACCATGATTTGATTTTATCTAGACTGTATTTCGATATGGCAGCTACCTGCAGTGGAAAGCTCCTGGACTGATTCAGCAGAATCACCAGTTTGCGAAGAGAGGATGTGAATTTACAGAGGGCAATCTTGGACTACAGATTTGGACTATAAAGAAGAAGAGTAAAGACATAAAATCCACACAGAAACATTTTATTTGAACTTAAACTCACTTCCAGAATGAATGCAGAGGCTGTTGAAAATAATAACAGCAGAATGTTTTAAGGGAATTATTGTAATATTTTGAAATGCAGTAGAACTATGAGATAATTAGGATGCCCTCCGATCTCAAAGCTTGGGAAGTCAGCTAAAAAATAATAATAATTTATAATTAGGCATAACATTGAGATTTGTTTGATTATTGGGTAATTTGTATAATTTGGAATATATAATTTGGTTTGATTGAAAAATTTTAATAAATACTATTTAAAAAATAAAGATAAAAGCTCTTCGTTGGGAAGGAAGTAGTAGGACATTTAGGTAATTGGCACAAAATCCATAAGAAGTAGTTATGCCTAGGGCCTCTGAGGAACAGGGTTGCGGAGTGTGAGGAGACAAATGCTGTTTTTCATGGTCATAAAGCCACTGATTGATTGTCTGGAATATATAGCTTTCATCACATACTTTGAGGCTCTCCAGAGAAATACCCAAAGTACATATTTTGTCCTGAATTGCTCTATACCAGGCATGGGCAAACTCGGCCCTCCAGATGTTTTGGGACTACAATTCCCATCATCCCTGACCACTGGTCCTGTTAGCTAGGGATGATGGGAGTTGTAGTCTCAAAACATCTGGAGGGCCGCGTTTGCCCATGTCTGCTCTATACCATCTAGATGGATTACGGTCTTCAAGCATAGAGGTTGAAAAGGAATTTGATGTTGTTCTGTAATGTACTTTCAGCCAGGCCTTGGTTATAATGAGCCATGTGTTGGTTTCCATCAGATGTTGACCGGTTTCGGCACCTAAGGTTAGATAACTTATGCATTTAGAGGCACCAAGGATCTTGCAAAGAAAAGTGGCTTGAATTTGTTTGACCCTTTCCCTCTATTCTGACATATGTAGGGATAGAACAAAGATGTCCAATCATTTGTATGGTGGATGGGGAAAGACTTGGTAGGTCAGGGTTCCAGTAGACCTAGTGTACCAGCCTCCACCACATCCCATGTACCTAGAATGCCCCAGATCTTTTCTGTGAAGATGGCAGATGCTAATCTTGCTGCACCCCAAGTTTCTTAACTGTGGTCTGCTCATACATCATAAAGGTGTTCATAGGAATGTAACTTGCAAAAATTCAGAAGGATGAGTGTAGGGGATTGGAGGTTATGATGAATGACCAACCAACCAACCAACCAACCAACCAACCAACCAACCCACACCTTCCGTATTCTCTTAGCTTTCACCTCTCTCCTCCTGCTTTGAGGTAGCCTGCCTAGGTTTTCCCAGAATTCTTATCCTTGAGTACATCAAACACAGTTTTCAGTCCATGTTGGGTCCAGGATTCTGCTCCCCTTCCGTCTGGGTTGTGGGTCAGGGCCTCCAGTCTCACACCCCTAGACAATTTCTTCAGCTGCTTCCTCTCTGGCACATGGGGAATCTCTTCCCTGGACATCTCCTGCCCCATATTCCAACTCAAAATCTTGCCACCAGGCTAAATCTGGGGGCACTTCCTTCAGAATCCCTGGGCCCACCCCACCCACATGGTGCTCAGAATCCACCCCCTTTTCCTTACTCATGGAGCTAAACAAAGACATATTATTTCCCCGGTGACTTTCTTCCCCCAAACCCAGAGGGCTCTGGGCGACCCTGGTTGTTGCTGCCGGAACTGAGACAGGGCCCCACGCATTTCCAAAAGGGAAGGTAGCCAGTCCTGGAGAAGGAAAACTCTGGTTCTCAACCTCCACTGCCTTGCAACCAAACTCATTCATGAGAAAGTCATTGGGACACTGAGGTTAACCCTGAGATAATATCATGATCCTGATCCTGCCTTTAACTCTGTGTACTTTGGGGATCCACCAAAGGTATTAATTTTACTGGAACTATAGGCCAAATGCCACATCAAACAAGTTTTTCAGTGGTGCATCTGTGTGGTATGAGAGAAATGCTTACTTAGGACATTACATTGCAAAAGATAAATATTTTAATAGACTTCTACTCTAGAATTCCAATTGTAATGCAATAAAATACATTGTATATATAAAGATATAAAAGTAGAAATAAACTACAATTAAAAATCCCTAAGCACCCTACCATGGTCCAGCAAGACCTTCAGCAATTCTCAAGTGGTCCGTGGGAAGAAAAGTATCAGAACCACTGGTTTAGAACTTCAGAAAAGAGAAACAACAGAACATCGTTAATAGTGCAAAGACTTCCTTGGTTCATTTGGAGAACTGACATGTTTCTTCAGAATATTCTACACGGCTTGTGCTGGTTTGGGCCAAATGCATCTCCACACGAAGTCAAGAATGGAGTCTGGCAAGTAAGAGAGAGGAACGTAGAAGAGTTTGGCATCCCATCCTGGACAGTAGCGGATGCGAGGGGAGCAGGAGGTCAGGGCATGTTCTATAGAGTCCGTGACCGGTTGAAAGTTGCTGCTGCCGGTGAAGTGACAGAATTTTAATAATTTGAGACCTGTGTGTGGGATATAGGAAAGAAAAGAAAACTTAGTGATGCAAAAACATCTATGTATTTATTTCTGCATTTATTTTTTTGATTTCTATGCTGCCCTATACCTCCGCAGGAGATAGCCTAAATATTTTGGGTTCTGAAGGGATAGGTTAGCTTCTGGATTTCTCTGCCTAGGAGGTCTAAATCTAAGGAGGAGCATTGGGAGCATTTTCTGTTGCTTTAAGACGGAACCTTTTTCAACAGGGGATTAGACATGGTCAATCTGTGTTTCAGGCTGTAGGTGGGGCTTGAGAGTTGTATCTAGGTGAGGGTCGCCATACGCCAGGTTCAGGGGCAGGCAACCCAGGCTCTGTCTCTCTCTCGGGCAGGGCCGGATTTAGGCTTGATGAGGCCCTAGGCTACTGAAGATATTGGGGCCCTTTATATGTCCAGCTGTCCTTTGTCAACAACAAATTGTCACTGTTTTTTGTGTTGAATATATTCTATATGGTAATTTATGGACCTAACAGGTATCTAAAGCCATTTGCACATAAGAAAATAAGTATTTTATTGAAGTATTTTATTTTATTTGTTTTTTATCTTATATTTTGGAAATGTCCATCTAGGTTATTTTCCTTTACATTTTTGCGGGGGGCCCAAGAGAGTGGGACCCTAAGCCATAGCGTGTTTAGCTATGGATTTGAAACCAGCAATTTAGCCTGGTGGGTCTCAGGGTCTCTCTCTCTCTCTCTCTCTCTCTCTCTCTCTCTCTCTCTCTCTGTGTGTGTGTGTGTTCCACTGCAACAGTGTGACTTATTAGCACATACTTTAATTGCAGGCTTTGCAGTTATAATAGCTGTGTGCTTTCGCACATTGCAAACCAAACTGAATTCTTCCCCCCGCCCATTTCTACTCACTGCGCTCAAAGTAGCGCTGCCCATAGGCTTCCTTGATGTCAGAAGGGACTTGGCTCCATGCATTCTTGTAGCTCTCTACCGTCTTTGACTGCATGGGTGTTTTGAAAGAACCGGGTTCAATAATGCTGACTCGGACCCCGAAAGGATGCATCTCTCGCCTGAATTGAGGAGGAAAAATCAAGAAACACGTCTTCTTACTGAACCAGAATAATAAGGAAGATCATGATTTGGCTTCCATGGAATAGAACATCTTTCCTTAAAGAAGAAGAAGAAGAAGAAGAAGAAGAAGAAGAAGAAGAAGAAGAAGAAGAAGAAGAAGAAGAAGGGAGAGAGGGAGATGTGGTGAAATGCAGCTTCCTGTCTTCTTCTGTCTTGAGGCACCAGGGCATTGTCTATGACCCGGCATCAGGCATATTCAGAGGCAGCCACCAGGAGGTTGGTGCTTACAACTCTTGCTGGCACATTAAATTGTTTCCTCAAGGAAAAGAGCTGACTTAGGTGTGCAAACCCCTGCTGATTACTTGGTAAGTCTCTGGTGCAGTCCACATGTCCCAGCACCTGCTCTTTATTCATTGCTGTCCTCTGCTTGAAACTTAGCTGGAGAAGCAGACATCCCACTAAAGCAAGGAGAAAGAGGAAGATACAGAACTATCATGTTTACCTCAGGACGTCAGAGAAGGCTTCCACGCTGTACTTGGATGCGGTATAGGGTACTGCAAAGCATGCCAATCGTCCCATTATACTGGACATGTTGACCACCCTCCCTCTGGCTCTTCTCACCAGGGGCAGCATGTGTAGCGTCATGTCAATCATCCCAAGAAAGTTGACACCGATCATCTTTGCAACGCCATCTTTGGTCAGCCACTCACTGGGAGCTGATGGGGCAGCAATGGCTGCATTGTTCACCAAACCCCAGAGCCCTGTGTGAGAAGAAAAAATTATTCTTATTGTTCCAGGTTCCCACCTGCCTTAATAATTCAATATACACAATTCTTTGGAAATGTGGGTATATCTGCATTCTTGTGAGCGCTCTCTCTCTCTCTCTCTCTGTGTGTGTGTGTGTGTGTGTGTGTGTGTGCAAGCAGATACACACAATGATACATTTCCCATTAATACTATATGCACTGCCAAGGATGACGCTGTTAAGTCAAGGCACCCATCTTAGCTTCTCTCCCACACATCTTTTGCTCACTTAGTGCTTAGGATCCCTGCACAGACACTCTTGCAACTTCAGTCATTTCCCTTTGTCAAATGAGCACAGCACTGAAGTGGAGGATAGTATGGAGCCCTGGGCATCAATTTGCACAGCAGCCACCTGATTTTCTGCATGCTGCCAGAGAATGGAGTCTGTAGTTTGGGCCTATGTTTTGCACAGGTTGGTTAGGAGATTTTATAGGGATTTTGCTAGTGAAAAAGATAAAATTAATAAGACATGATACGTGTGGAATATAGCATGTATGGAACACTGAGAGGGTGTTTATGAGAGGGTGATGAGAGGAATAACTAAGGAGACTTCCCGGGTAGCTCCTCCGGCAATGGCGGATTTCCTCTGATCGGGAGGAATCCGCTCTGTGGAAATCAGGGTCTGGACCGCCGCGGCGAGGCGGAGACCCACTAAAAACCACAGTCGGGAGAAGCCTGTGGACATGGGATTCGGCTGGCACCTTTTGCGCCTCCCCTACTCGCGGGGAAACCTGGTTTCGGGGATCCGGAGTGACATGGGGTGAGCGGCGCGGTGCTTCGAATCGACTGCTTCTTTCACAGAGTGAAGCCGCATTGCTGTTACCGGAGAGCGCTGACTTTTTCCTGTGGACAATTGGACTCTAAACAACTACCCGTGAGTAGAACGGAAAATTGGATCTCTAAACATCTTAATTTGGCACCGAAACGGGAAGGTTTCAAACAGGAAGTCCGCCTTCCTCTTTTGTAAATAGATTGAAGCAAAGCCGTTGCAAGCTAAAGCCTGGAAAGCCTTTTGTAAAGGATTAAATCTCCATCGGTTAAAATTACTAACCCCCCTTGGAAGCAGGAGAAGAGGGGGGAAATTTTAGATCGCCTAAGCCTGCAGGAGAGAGAGTGAAGAAAGATAAATTATCACCGTTTTGAACCTGGGAACGGGCTGCCAGTAAGATCGACGTTTTAGGAAAGTTCATTGACTGTGAATAAAACGTATGTTGACAGATAGTTAAATAAGAGAAATATATTGTTTCCATTGTTTCCTTTTGCACTTAAAAAGGAACAAAAAAGTAACTGAAAATCGAAACTAACTTTGTTGCTGGATCTGCGCTTAAAAGGACGGATACAAATAGAAATTGTTTCCCCCAGAGGGAGCTTTTGAAACTGTTGCAGGAGTGGAGCTGGGGAATTTTCCAGCTGCAGAGATTAAAGACCGTGAGAATCAGAGATTGACCTTGGACAAGAATGTTGACAGAAGAAGCCTTAGTGATTGCATTTTGCAAGACAAGTGCTTTATTGGAACAGCTTCATGAGAAGACGGATGTGATGATTATTAAAATTGGCAATTTGGGACAAAAAATGACTGATTTGGGACAAAAAGTGAATACCTATACAGAAACTACTCAGGAATTGATTCAGGAATCTGTTTTGACATGGCAAGCTGTGGAGAAGACGAAGGAGAAAGTTGTTGTTGAACCTCAAGTAATTCAAGTGGAGAGAGCCCCGGCCTTACAGAGGCAATTTGATGAACATAAGCTGTTGCCTTTTACAATTGAATCTAGAGAAAGCCAGATTTGGTGGGATGGAGCCCCGCTTGGGTTGGAGAAGGAAAGTTGGATAGATCCCCTTATGCAGGGATGTTCTGGCTTTTGGGATCTGGATTTGGGTCAGGGGGAGATTGGAGTTGTGGGGGCCTTTAGCTTTGGAGGGACTCTGAAACACACTCTGAAATATCTTTTGGACTTTAGTTCTGACTATGGAGAATGGGCTGACCTGTCGAGAAGGAATAAAGACATTGTTAGGTTGGAGTTTCCCCGAGATCTACTCCTCAGTGCCAAAGGAAGGAAATTAAGAACAAGATCAGTAGAAGATAAAGTAAAGTGCATGTATAAATATGAAGATCTGCAGAAGGGACATGGAAAAGAGTTAAGAGCCTCGGACAGAAGATCACCAGGTTGATGGACCATATGGAATTGATAGAAAGGACTGACAGAATCCGAGACCAGGGAGAAGAGACGGTGGAAGAAGATTGGAAAAAAGTGTTTTTTTAAAAAATTATTTAGAGAAATATTGCAAAATTAATGAGTGTTAGAAAAATGTTGGAATGAAATTATACGGCTTTAGTAGAAATGTTATAAGGAGTTACGTATAAATAAGTTTTAGGGTTTTAATGGTAAGATAAGGTTAAAATAAATTAAGATAATTAAATGACAGAAAACAGTGAAAGATGGAAAGGATTTGCTGAAATAATTAATAACTAGAACACAAAAAGGGAGGTGTGAGGAGGTCGATGAAACAAGTTAATAAAAGATAAAGATATGAAAATATTGGTTGTGTTTTTAATTGTTTTTGCTTTTGTTTTTGTTTTGATGTATTGTGTCTTTTGTTTTTTTTATATATGTATTGTAATGTATTGATTTGTATTGTTTGCTTTTTCTCTTTCTTTTTTACTTCTTTCTGTAATTTTTAAACTTTTAATAAATATTTTTTTTAAAAAAAGAGAGAGGAATAACTAAGAAAGAGGGGTTTGTATCATTAATAAATGATTTATATCATTTATTAACAATAGTACAATCATCTCCCTTCTTGTCTCAGTCTCAGCAGCCACTGTGGAGAAATTATCTTAATCTTTAGATTGCATCAGGCAGCATTTCTGAAGAAAGGGAGGGAACACATATCTCCTCCTTCTGAGTCATTTTCCTGGTGTGGATTGCAGCTCCTCCCAGCTGCTCTTAGGAGGAAAAATTCAGAGTCCAGCATCACCTGCTTGTCAGTTAAAGTTACCATTTTGTACCATCACTTACGGCTTTTCATATATGTGCTTTAAAGAGCAGCTTGATCTGTGGACATTATCAGGTGTCAATGTTTCTCTTCACACCACAAGGAGCTTCACCTGCTGATGTCACAGAATAAGCTGCTGTCAAAGGCACAAAGCAAATGTCTTTCAGATCAGCTTCTTATTGAGGTTGAATTAAGCTGATTGCATAGTTTTTGTAAAATTTTACTCACTGATATTTGGATTCTTTCTTTTTTAAAAAAAAATATTAATCCAATCAAATCACAATACAAACAAATAAAACCAAATTACTTTCCGAATTTTTTAAAAAATTCAGAAGGATTTCCCATGTTCCGGATGTCTGGAAAAATTGTCTCACACTTTCCCCCCTGCTTAAATTGAAGATGAATGACGCCGTGAGCTCTCATGTTGTTTAAGAAGCTGTTATTCCAAAGTTTTTTGTAGAAAATCAACATGATAGGGTATATTTCACTTTCAGCAATCATTTGGCAATTGATCGGCTTTTTCCAGAGTCCACACCTTCCACCCGGGCCCTGGGGGGGAGCCTGCCAAATGCCAGCTTCACCTTCACTTTCACCTTTTATAATAATAATCCATGCAAACAAATGCACTGTTTTTCGTGAAACATTTCCCATATTGTAGTCCCAAAAAATTTTTCCCCACTCCCTCAGAAGGAGGTTTTTCCTTCTGCACCACAGCTAATGGACGCCATTTTCTCAACTCCTTTATCTTTTGCTAAGTCAAATTAGAACTTCAAACGAGGGCTGCACAGCCAGATAACTAATTACAATTGAAAATCTGCCTGTATTCTGTCTAATGTTTGTTCTTTCTTGGTGAAGTTTGGCATAGAAGAGTAGATGTAGATATATAGAAGGAAAAATAACCACGCACCTCACATTAATGAAAACACAACGATAGAGTCCTTTTCAAAACCTTGACACCCAAATTTTGGTTCGTTTAGCAGATCTTTTTTATCTCCTTTCCAGAACATGCCTGTTTCTTAGTCCAAATTTTCATAATTTTGTGAACACAGGGAGCCCCAGCTCATGAGACTGTTTCTGGAAGGTTCTCAGTTTTTGCCATGGTCATCAACCTGCCCCCCTGCCCCCACATCTTGTTGCGGAGGGCAGATAACGGATGATCTGCGGGTGGTGCAGCCTCCCCTACCCGGGGGGGGGGTCAGCAGGGCTAATTACCTTCATATTAACTCTGAATTACTGGCAAGACTGAGGGTTTGATTTCTTGGGAGGCAGCCATATCTCACAGCTGGAAACCAGAAGCCTAGATTAATTGTTTCTAATAACTTTTTTGAATAGTACTCCTTCATTTGATATATGGGGAGTCACTTTGGCCACATTTTGTGGGAAAGTGGAATAAAGATAAGCAGATGATGATACAGATAATCCCCGGCCTGATCCTTCCAGAGGCACTGGCTAATCAGTGTGAGATTCTTCAACTGCTTGCCAATTTAAATTTAAATTTAAAAAATATAATTATTTTTTTTAATTAAGATTAAAATCTTGCAGCATTGATTATGCTCTCTTGTATCTGTAGACATTATCAGATAGGAACATGTATCTTCATACAAAATGAAGTTTCACTGTGTGACTTCACAGAACAAGCTGCTGTCAAAGGCATGAAGCAATAATCTTTCAGGTTATTTGGCAATCCTAGTAGCTCTTGACAGAGGCTGAATTAAGGTGGCCCCATGGAATTCCTTCCCCATTCATTGCCTTATTGATTTTAGTTGTTTCTAATACTTTTTAAAATGGTCATACTTTTTCGTTTTGATATATTGGGAGTCACTTTGGCCACATTTTGTGGGAAAGTGGAGTAAAGATAAGCAGATGATGATACAGATAATCCCTGGCCTGATCCAGAGCATGGAAACAACAGAACAAAAAGCTACCTTTGTTCCCCACTTGTTCTTTCACCCACTCTGTCGCTGCCGCCACACTCTCCTTACTGGTGACATCCAGAACGGTGGTTTTCAAGCGCTCTGAGGTGACCTTGTCCAGCTGCTCTGCCCCCTTCTGGGTGGTACAGGTTGCCAACACCCGCAGACCCCGGGCATCCAGATGCCTGGCAAGGTGGTTCCCAAGGCCAGCGGAACAGCCGGTAATGAAGACATATTTCTCCGTCAGGTTCTCCACCGTCTGTCTCTCCTGGTACCATCGGCGAAGGAAGTAAAGCCCCAGCAGGGCAGCCAGGTAGAGCCACATGGCTGAAACCTGCAGGGAAGAAGCTTGCAAGAGTGGGGACACACAGGCACCTAGCAAGCCTTGGAGAAACCAAATCCCAACTCCTGCTCCACCATGAAGCTCGCTGCTCTATTTAGCCTCCCTCGCAGTGTTATTGAGGGGAAGGAGGAATTTCCCATGATGCATTGAGCTGCTTGGAGCAGAGGCAGGCTAAAAGAAGTATAAACAATAGCTCTAACTAGCTTCTTAATAACTGAACAACTTAATAAAGAGGAACAGTATGATCCTATCTACATCTATAGAAATAAGCAACACTGAGCTCAAATATTGTGCAAGCCCAGCATCAGCATCCAACAGGTCATACGCCTTATTTTGCCATCACTGCATCACATACTGCACTTGCTCAAGGTCCAATCCCCATTTTGTCTTGTTTGTTAATTTTATTTTTTGAGTTTTCAGTTTTACAAAAGATATGAAATGTAGTACATCTTCAGAATAAAAACATAATTTGACTTCCCTCCTCCCCTTCTGTTTCATCTTCTGGTTTCACTTTTATTTCTGCATTTCCCCTATAAAGGTTAAGGGACCCCTGACTGGAAGGTCCAGTCGTTACCGACTCTGGAGTTGCAGCGGTCATCTCGCTTTGTTGGCCGAGGGAGCCGGTGTACAGCTTCCAGGTCATGTGGCCAGCATGACTAAGCCGCTTCTGATGAACCAGAGCAGCACACGGAAACGCTGTTTACCTTCCCGCCGGAGCGGTACCTATTTATCTACTTGCAGTTTTTGGTGTGCTTTCGAATTGCTAGGTTGGCAGGAGCTGGGACCGAGCAACGGGAGCTCACCCCGTCGCGGGGATTTGAACCACCGACCTTCTGATCGGCAAGTCCTAGGCTCTGTGGTTTAACCCACAGCGCCAGCCGCGTCCCCCCCAAAAAAGTATTAGAAACAACTAAAATCAGTAAGGCAATGAATGGGGAAGGAATTCCATGGTGTTACTTTAATTCAACCTCTGTCAAGAGCTGCTAGGATTGCCAAATAACCTGAAAGACTATTGCTTTGTGCCTTTGACAACAGCTTGTTCTGTGAAGTCACACAGTGAAACTTCATTTTGTATGAAGATAAATGTTCCTGTCTGATAATGTCCACTGATCAACCTGTTTCTAAAAGCACAGATGCAAGATATCATAATCAGTGTTGCAAGATTTTAATTTTAACTGACAAGCAGCTGCAGGACCTCAAACTGATTAGCCAGCATTTGCAGTGTAGGAGAAGCCTCTGGGGTCATTTGGCTGATCTACATTGAATTTTTCCTCCTAATAGCAGCTGGGAAAGGAGGCATTTTAGATGGGGGGAAATACTTGGGAGAAGAACGAACCAAAGCAGCTATATTGCAATATCTTTTAAGATGCTTCCCATTTAAATGTGTTTGGGGAGCCCAGAGCAGAGAATATGGAAGGTATAACCTTCTGGATCAGGCCAATGTCTCTTCTTGGAGCCAGCATGGTGTAGTGGTTAAGAGCGGTGGTCACGTAATCTGGGGAACCGGGTTCGCGTCTCCGCTCCTCCACATGCAGCTGCTGGGTGACCTTGGGCTAGTCACATTTCTTTGAAGTCTCTCAGCCCCACTCACCTCACAGAGTGTTTGTTGTGGGGGAGGAAGGGAAAGGAGAATGTTAGCCGCTTTGAGACTCCTTAAAGGGAGTGAAAGGCGGGATATCAAATCCAAACTCTTCTTCTTCTCTTCTGATCCAGCATTCAGTTACCAGCAGATGACTTCTCGAAAGCAGCAATCAAGCGCACTCTCTCTTCCTGTGCTTTCCAGCAATCGGTATTTGGAAGTATTTCTGCTTCCAGCTGTAGAGGCAGAGCATAGACATCTTGGCTGTCCAATCCACTTTTAAAACCATCCAAGTGGGTGGGCATCGCTATCTCCTGAACCTTCCAACATTCATTGGACGTTCATGAGTTCCATTGTTGGAGAATGAGAAGCAGTGTGGTGCAGTGGTTAGAGTTTCAGACTAGGACCTGGGAGACCTGGGTTCAAATCTCCACTTGGCATACTGCTCATTGGGTGAGGTCCCAACACTGATCTTTGGAGAACTCCAGTTTCTACATCTCCCCATCTAGATATTCCATTTATTCCTATACTCTGTGTCCTGCTTCTTAACCAGTTTCATGACTGCTCAGCTTATTCAGGAGTCGGCAGTCTAAGTACAGTAGGTCAACTGGATCAGTTTTATCCAACAGATCTACTTTGGATAAGCCTTCATGCTCTTTGCTAAATTTCATGTAAAGGCCTCCCAAAATGGCCCCCAGAGGTCATTGGTTGGCCTTACTTTTAAAACTGTGTGAATCCCTGGGGAAATATTGGATCTCCAGCAATACTAAGATCAAATGCAAGAGCAGGGCATTTGGTTTTTTGAAAGAGTGATGTGAATAGAAGCTTTAGGACTCCCATGCTTTCAATTACAGCTTTCCCCTTAGCAAATATTGCCCATTTTAAAGAAGGATATAGCGGCCGACTGAATGTTCAAGGTTTTTGATGCCCTCCCTATGTTTTTTAGGTGTAATAAGTATTTTAGAACCTCCCGTTTTGAAGGGGAGGATGTGGTATTCAAGTTGCCTGCTCTGTTACGGAAATTTAGGAAGTCCACCCATGCCTTAGCGTGTTCTCCGAGTGGATGGCGCTAATGCTGCCAATACTCCCTCCATTATCTCGAGTTCCGAAGGCTCCAAAGATCCTCTGGGAAAGGCAGCGGCGATTGTTCCGCCTCTGGCGCTAACGAGCGGAAACGATCCATCTGGATACGAGACAGAGCATCCACAATGTCATTGTTAACGCCTGTCACAAACTCAGCAGAAAAATAGATGTTACGTTGAAGACATAGCAGGACAAAGGAGCTTAGGAGGCTTCCCACCCTCGGGGAGCGTGAGGATTGCATTGAAAGGACCGCTACGACTGCCTGGTTGTCGAACTGCCACTAAGTGAACTGCCACTACGATGGGAAAGAATTCTAAGAAAGTAAGGTCCCGCCACTCAGATGGCCAGCATTGGGCGCACCACTGACCCTTGAAGTAAACCCCGAAACCTAATGATCCTGCCGCGTCGGACTGCACCTGAAAATCTGCGTGAAGCAGCAAGGTGTCTTTCCATGATGATATTCCATTGCAATTATCAAGAAAATGAAGCCATACCTCCAGGTCAGACTTGACCGCCCTGGAAAGGCGCACCCTGTGTTGCGGAGCACGCAGGCCCGCTGACAGTCTAGCTAGACGGGTACAAAAGGGGCGCCCCGGAGATACCACCCGGCAGGCAAAATTCAAGTGACCTAGCAGGGACTGAATTTGTCTGAGGGTAACCTTTCTCAATGGCAAAAGCTGCCGAATCAATTCCCTAAGGGTGTCTAATTTTTCTTTTGGCAACCTGGAGGACTGCGAAACCGTGTCTAGTTCAATGCCTAAGTACACTATTTTGATAACTGGGCCCTCTGTTTTGTCTGCCGCCAAAGGGACTCCAAGTTCCTCAGCTAAAGAGACAAATGATGCCAGTAAACTGGTGCACTGGGGTTCTTTAGCTGCAACGAGAATAAAGTCGTCGAGGTAAAGCGAGACCCTGATGGAACCTTTTTAAATTGAAGTGCCCATTCCAGGAACGTACTAAGAGCTTCGAAGGCTGCACAGGCCACCGAACAGCCCATGGGCATAGCTTTGTCGACAAAATAAGACCCTTCAAATCTAAAGCCTAACCAGCGAAAATTGTCGGGGTGCACAGGGAGGAGACGGAAGGCTGATTCAATATCACATTTTGCTAGGAGCGCCCCCTTTCCAAATTTACGGATCATCTTAACCGCTTGATCAAATGATGCATATTTCACTGTGCAAAGCTCTTGGGGTATGGAGTCGTTGACGGAACCTCCCCTTGGATATGAGAGATTATGGATCATACGGAACTCCCCAGGGGCTTTCTTGGGAACTATGCCCAGGGGGGAAATGTGTAGGCCTTCAATAGGAGGCTGATTGAAGGGACCGGCCACCCTCCCCGCTGCAATTTCCTTTTGAATTTTCTTTCTGGCTATGTCAGGCATTTCCCGCACTGATTTTTGGTTGGGAGGATCGCCCGGGTTGGGTGGGAAGGAGACTGGAATTCTAAAACCTGTGGAGAACCCTTCCCAGAGATATGCCGCTGCTGTTTTATTGGGGTATGATTCTAATAGGGCTTTTAACGGGTGTAATTTGATAGGTGAGAACGCTAGGTCGAGGGCGACATTATTGGCAGTTCCCTGCATTTCCCTGTGGGTGTCCGGAAGTACCCCTGGGGCCTTGGTGAGAGTGTCAGTATCTCAGCTCACAGTCAGAGGTACCTGGCCTCCCCCGAGGCGAACTGAGTGAGATACTTGTTTACCTTCCGTCTGCGTCTCCCGGCAGACTAGGTCGTAAACTGACAATTCTCCTCATTAGACGTGAAGAGAACACACCCTCTGCTTCTCTCTTCCAGCTTTCCCCCCCAGGGAGGGGAAATGAGACAGACAGGAGTCTATTCACATGACTTTTTATTCCTGTCATTCAGCAGTACATTGAAACGTGACTGCACCCTTCAGACTCCATCAGAAGAGTCACAACTCCGCCCTGCACTTCCAGCACAGGTCAGATGACACTCTGAGCTAACATCCGGTGCCCAGTACAGAGAAAAGACTGCCCCTTTTCTCCAACAGTACATCTGCAGACAACAACATCCTGTTTTGCTTTCCAGCCACCTGCTGCTGGCTTTTGCATTGCTGCTTTTATCCAACAATCTCCCCCAAAAGCATCAATAGGCAAAACATGATCCAGAGAAGAAAACAAACAGTTGTTATACACATAACAGTCCCCTGTTGTTTCAGTTCCACCCTTGGAACTCCCCATCACTGGTTCCACCAGTGTACCTCTCTGGTTGTCTGGCTTCTAAGGAATGAGTGCTTCTGCATTACCTTGGCTAGCTACTCTCTGTTGTGTCTTTGTCTCTGACTTAGACACTGCTTTAACCTGCTTTGAGTTGTTAAC